TCTTCTCATCGTCATCACTCTCGCTCGTCATGTTCTCAGAGTCCTCAACTCTCAGCAAAACCTCGTAGAACTCCTGATAAGTATCACAATGAGTGGAGGTCGACATCGAACGCCACTTCTTCTTAGTGCCAATGCGAAAACGACGAAGCATCTCTGCTGGATTACCAGCAATCTCAGGGTGGTAGCGAGATAAGTCGGTGAACTTCCGATAGTACTCGTTCGCAGTCATCTTCCGCTGTTTCAACTCAGTGAATTCCTGCTTCTTGCGATCGATGTACTCAGGGGGCACAAATCTCCTTTTGAATAACCTAATGAAAACATTCCAGTCAGTCTGCTCGGCTGGAGTCAAACGACGAAGCTCCTGCTCACACCAGGATGCAGACTTCGTACCCAGAAACCATGAGGTCGTCTCGACCCATCTCTCAACAGGAAGGTTCCCCTGATTATTCAATACTCGGAAAGTCTTCTCAATATACTCTAACCAACGCTCTGCTTCCTCGTGCCCTTCATGACCGTGGAACTTATCCAATTTCAGATTGTACATAGTCTCCAGAGGAGTCCTCTGGGGAGGGCGAATAACTGCCTGGATAGCGGTAGCAATAGCTTCCCCCAGCTGAGTGATATCGGGGAAACTAGACTCATCGGAGCGACGTGGTTCCCGACGAGGCGGCATAATTCTGACAGAAGGCACCAAAACCATTAGAATACTCACAAAAGACACAGGACTGCCAAACCTAAGCTCTGATACCAAACTGACACACCCCAACCGAGATCAGGGCATGCTGGCCGTCACGTGGAGGTGACGTAGCCATGTGCACAGTGCGGAAGCTAAAGGAAATAATATAAAAGTACGAATAACTTAAAACTAGCATATGTAATGTGATAAAATAAGTGCTAGCGAAAGTGAGACGCTGAATTCAGAGCCTAAAGATTACAGCAGTCCAAAGAAAAGATACAACAATAGTGCACCCGAAGGTGACCCTACATCGGTGCGTGTCTGTCAGAAATGCCGGGACGTCCTCTGGGAAAACCACCGAACCCGCTAAGCTACTAGAACCTGGAAGGGCGCAAAACAAAAGCGTGAGTGGGCAAAAACAAATTCTTTGAAAACCATTTCATAAAATACATTCTAACCCATCGCCGTAAAACCTGTATACTTCCCAGAAAATAAACATATGCACGTATATATATAGATATGCCAAACATGCTCCATAATATGCCATGTCGGAACCTCAGAATGAAATGCAAGTGCTCAGGTATAAATCATATCAGTAACATATAATCTGGCAGCCGGAGTCATCTAACGTGACCTGTACGGCTGCATCTAGAGCTCAAATCTCAATCACTATATCTGAACCTGCCCACAAGTCGGAACCACCTAAAATGGTCTGTACGACAGGCCTGGGTGTAATACATATAAACGCTCTAGTGCTACGATCACGTGAAGACTGTGCGAATAATCGCGGGTCACCTACGAGTCGGAACCACCTAAAGTGGTCTGTACGACAAGACTGTGCACCTAACTTGGATCCAAACTGAGCGTGTGGTGTGGGAGGTGAACATCACGTGAAGGACTGTGCCCTACTCTGGGCGGGAGCACTAACACCGGGGGTGCAGGTTATGAGCTCTCTAAGCACCTCTAATCAATATTTAATGCAATTGTTAAACAACGCTTACCTGGCACTTACCTGTGCCTCCACAACACCATTATATATATAGACATATGCATAATTGATTATATAATTAAACGTATATGCAACTAATCATGCATAACCACCAATTATATAAAAGGAATGACATATAACGAATAAGCATTTATACTAATTTCTGGGAATTAATATGTATATAGGTATATACGGAAAACCAAAAGCCCACTCACTGGTATGTGGAAGGGACGTAGCCCCCCTGCCTCGAGTGTGCACGCTCGTCCTCGGGATAGGAATCACCTATATGCGAATTAACTATAAAAACGTTAACTTTAAAGCACATAACCTTCCGTTCAAAATAACTTCTCATACATTGCTCAAAATGGACAAATGAATATACCAACGTGCTCTACACAACCTCAGGATCACAACCATATTTTTAAAATAATTTTTGGACCTCTCACGCGCCCCCACACGCCAAAATAGGCACGGACCTACGCGCCCCCACGCGCGGCCACGTGCCGTGCACACTGACGGTGTCAATTGACGCCGTCAGGAATATTCCGTTAAAACTCCGGAATATTCCGTTAAACTTAACCGGATACCGTTATTGCCATTAGGAATATTGCGTTAAAATTAACGGAATATTCCTGTTTCTTCTCCGGCCTACCCTCGCCGGACTCCGGTCACCGGAAAACTGGGAAAACTTTAAACTCACTATTCTCCTTCGTTTTTCAGCCAATTTTCATGATTCTTGAACCAAAATGAAGCTTAGACCTAGGAGAATCACGATAGACTACTTTTAAAGGTTAAAAACCACGCGATCATACCTGTCTTCAAACTCAAAAACCGGCCAACTTCGAACCAAGCTTTCCCGACGTCCAAATTTGTCCAACGAAGCACTCCGAGGCTCCTGGGAACCTCACAAACACAACTACAAGCTTCAAAATCCCAAAAACTAGCTAGGTTAAATTTGTATGAACAGTACTCAAATCGGAGCATCGACGTGAAAATGATTGGTTTCTCACCTGGAAATGGTACAGCTGTACTCCCACGAGCTTCACGAGCTCGAATATGGCCTTAGTTTCTTCGATCTGTGATGAGTTGGTTTAGTTGTGTGTGTGTCCGTACGTTGCAGGAAGAAGAAGAAGAAGAATAGAGGACTCGGGGGAGAGAGAGAGACAAGGAAAGTGACAGAGGAAGAGGGAGAGTGAGACAGTGTGTGTGCAGGTGTGGGTGTGGTCCAACACATGCCACACACACAAAACAACCAATTACGTCAAAAAAAACGAACTAGGGGCAAAGTTGACAATTCACATGTACGTTTTAATATTTCCGGGACGGGATGTCACAGTGCAGGTAGAAAATGTAAGGTGTATATTGAAAATGTGAGGTGTGACAATATTATGGGGAAGTATGTGGGGTGTATTTAGATTTTTCATTGAAAAAGCAAATGTGGGGTGTATTAAGTATGTAGGGTTTATTCAACAATTTGTGAGATGTTAATATAATAAGCCTATTTATTTGGTCTTAATGATATTTTTTTTTATTTGTCGTTTTAGTAATATTCTTTTTTATTTATCTAGTCTTAATAATTTTTTTTTTTTTTTTTTTGTAAATGAAATGTCTTAAATTCGAATTTCAGTCACTTAGTATTACGGTCTAATGATATTCTTCTTCCCCCACTGTGAGGTTAAGCCCATCTCTCCACTTTAGTGTAGATAATATCATTTGTTCAAAATAAAAGTTCAAATTGCAAGAATGATGAGTTTGTAACCAATTTATTTATCTACTCCTATAGTATGAATATATCGTTGTAGCAAAAAACTGATTTTTTTTCATTTAAACTAACCACTCTGCACCCATTTCTAATCATGTGCGACTTACAAATTTTATTTTATTTTCAAAAATTTTATTTGCCAAGTTACTTTTTTGCCAATTTGTTTTTATTTACCAAGTTACTTTTGATATGCACAAAGTTGAAATATATGCAAGTCACTTTGTCTTCTCTCCTCTTCATAATTCTCTCTCTTCCAAAATAACCCAACCCCCAACCTTGCCCGAGCAGGCCCAAACAAGATTTGCAAATTATGTAGACACCTCCTAAACCACCCACGGCTCCAGCATCCTCAAAGGCAGCATTCGATTTTAATCCAATTTGAATGAGATGGAGGCCGTCGAGACAATTGTAACTTGTAATGTTTTTTTATTTCAAAATTATGAGTGAAGTCATTTGTCTCTAAAATGTTTACGAATTTTTACACGTAACCCTCCAATAAATTTTTCCTAGATCCACCATTGATAGGCATGGCTGGTGCAGTTCCAATCTTAGGTTGCTTAACAATAATATAGAACTAGAAGCTTTATACATTTCACCAACAATAATAAAGTAGAAGATATTTAACGATTCACCAACAAAAGTAGCATACTTTGTTACTTGTTAGAGTGAGAATACAAGTTCCTCTTAAACTTAAGCCTATGCACGTTGCATGCTCAATGTAGCAAGAAATCTAGCACAAGTGTTTCGATGAACAACCAAACTAAAAGGAAAGAAATGGGAGTTGGTGACTATAGAAAATGGTTGATTGCTTAACAAGCAAGCTCCATCAGCTTCATTATTAATCTTTACTTTTATTTATTTATTTTCAAATGACCAGCTAGTAGCTTTGCTACAATAGTCCACCTTCTGAGGGCCGAAAATACTCACAAAGGCATTTCAACCTTCCCTTGACCACCATCGTATGATTCACAGGCAACAGGTATAGAACCCAGGATGTGCCGTGTGAGTACTGTCCTAGAATTCGTCTGCAACCACTAGACCACCCCGTGGTGGTTCATTATTAATCTTTACTTGACTTACTAAGAGTTACCATCACAATGAGAAAAAAAAACCTATAAATAGAGAACGAACGACGTGGATTCACAATTCATTGCCCTGATCAACTTGGTTACATGGAACCCGCGTTGGGTTTAATTTTCAAGTCTATCTACGACCGGATACTTTTCCCCAGCTCTCATTTGAATTATCTGCCCAGATAAATGCTAGATCTTAAAAAAGTCCAAGAGATGAGCTAGGGCTTGAGAAGTACAGCAGAAATCACTACGAAAGAAAAAATAGAAACAGGTTTAGTTGACAAGAAAGTGGCGTTTCTTTGAAACCTGTCATTACACTAGGAATGAACTGACCGGAAACACCCATCATGAGCCCTATACCTGGAGTAAAAGAGAGTTTCTATGCCACTACACAGCTTTGTCTTGGCAAATTACTTGCCAGTGGATAAATCATCTGGCTTGGATAAAAACTTGAAAAGCGAAAAAGAACTAGAAACTTCGCAGTTAAAAAGATTAATCAAAAACTTTGTACCTTCAAGCGAATGAAATGCGAATATTTGTGACATATAAAAGTATGTATGCACAATGCACTTTGCAGTATTGTACTGCACCCTAGACGGTGGCGGAGTAAAGCAATATATCTGAATGTTTGGTAAAATCACAAATACTTGACCATACCACGACCCTCCACGCTTAATCTCGTGGCCTGTAGCTGCTTTTTCTTTGGTGCTTTCAACTGCTGTAACTTCCTATTCATCTGCCAAATAAATAAAAATAACCTTTGTTCAATTATTATATCAATGAAGATTTTTCAAAGAAAAGTTCAAAACAGAAAGGAAAATCATTTAAGAAAAACTGAGATAAACCAACAAACAAAGATGGGGAAAACTCCTTCAGCCGTTGAAAGAATGAAGATTGAAGCTCAAAGAAAATCTCAAACAAGGGCAAAAGCTTGTCTCCAAAATTTAAACAAATTGGGAGAAAATTACAATTGAAGCTCCATTCAATTTTAACTTCAGCGCAATATGAATAAAAACCTCTAGTATCAACTTCAACCACTAAAATGAAAAGTTTTTATACATAAAAGATTTCCATTTCAGATCATTGGCAGCACTAGTAAATGAATAGAATAATGCGCACTCAAATGCCAACTAATCAGCACATCCTTTTTATTCAAAATTTTCAGATAGTTACCAATCAGAACAAAGAAAAAAAACGTACCTTCATACGGTGCTGATCTTGTATCCCTTGTTTAGCACATGCCCTAATTTCATCAGGATCGATCTTGGATTGTGGCCGCACCAGGAAATCCATTGGCGTCGCTTCTGGCCTTGAGGCATGTTGCCGAGAAGATGATTGGCCAGATTTTCTTTCCCTGTACCAAAGTCAAAATTAAAATTTGAAAGAAATGCACCTTAGACAGAACTGGCATAGCAAATAAGCCAGCAATAGAAGCTGAATTCACCGGGAATAAAATGAACACTGAAGTATGCCTAATCTATCCTCAAAATTTACCTTGAAAATTCATCCACATCATCTCTAGATTCCATTCCTGTGCCATTACTCACTGGCCTGTGTAACAAAATACAAAGGTTAATTTATGAAAACCAACCAGTAATTAGCTAAATTTAGAGAATTTATATTGAGTTCACCATGGATTTGTGTAAATCCATAGTAGCAATAAGATATTGTGATGAAAAAAGTAGTCTCAGTACTTTTTCATTGTTGGCCTTCTAAATGGAACCCTCTCATCGTCAACGTTTCTCATATCCTCAAACCTTGTACTTTTATTAAATATAGGTCGACTCTGCAGTCATGTGCAATAAAAAAAATTGTCAAAGTCTTTCAAGGCAGTACAAAAGAATTTCATTTTGTAAGCATTAACTAAGAAAGGAATAAGAATTAGAATCTCGAGGCAAATTTATCAACAAATAATGGAAATGAGATCTCCTATATATGATCCTCGGGCAAGGAGAAAAACTATTCAATCACTGCCCCTTCCAGTAGGATATATCAGATTAGTGCCCCACACACACACACATATATATATTTTAATGCAGTGTTACTAAGGAGAATAAGTTTGTAGAAAAGGGAGGGGGTGATTGCCACATATTTGTAAGAGAAAGATAAAATTGTAGAACAACGGAAGGTAAGTACTAGAGGACGAACAAAATTAGTAAATTACCCATTTGTCAACCAATTCCTTGGCAAGTTTTCTGTTGGAAGTTGTTTCTTCATCAGACTTTGACAAAAACATAATGACCTGCCAAGAACAAAGTAAATAAATCAAAGTTGACACACGGATTGACAAATCTTTATATGCTTTTTCAACGCAAAATGATCTAACCTTTCCGAGACCACTTTTTTCAGTTGTTCCCTTCTATCATACTGCTCTAGATTTATAGGGAACTGCACAACAGATACAAGAATTAAGGTCCTACTGTTGACAACCTTTACAAAATTCACATACTACAAAGGCAACAGAAGTGTATACATCAGTCAAAATCTGTAAAATTGCTGCACGTATATTTATGTTTGGTAAACTTCCATCTGGGAGAGGTTCAAGCCAATTCTTCAGTAGAGTTAACACTCCATGGTCTAAAAACTCCTGTTGAAGCTGCTTCCTGTACAAACAGTAAAATTTAAGGGGATATTCTTACAAATTATAAATATGTGGTGCAAGTCTGGGTTGAGAGAGATCACGTGCAGCCAGCTTACTTTGACAGGACCTTTGTAAGAAGAGGCAACTTCTTGAGCTTACTAATGGCAGGTTTTCCCTGTCTATTTAAATCTGCATCCTCTTCTGCTGTAACTTCGAGCTCAGCCATGACCTTCTCAACCAGGAATGCTACTTCTGCAGGACTTTTTTCATTCTTCTTCCTTTTCTTACCCATCTTAAACATATCCTTAATTTCATCATCTTCCTCACCCTCTTCAGCCTAGAAAAATTATAACAATAAACATATGGGAATTACACAATCTGGTAAACATATGGGAATAATCAATTAACCGAAGCTCTACTGCATCTTGCATTTAAATTCCATGACACGGCATTGTTTCATTACATATAGATAGAAGAACAAGTGGGAAAAAAGAAAAGAAAAAAAGACAAACCTGAGGATGGTGACTAGGAGAACGTGGTTCATTGTCACTTCTATACCGATCAGAAGGATGCACACCAGTGTCATCTATAAAGTTGTCGTCATCATAATTCCTGACACCCTCTTGATCATCCTATTCCATTGAAGAGCAGAAAACACTTAGGAAGTTCCGATAGGAAGCATAATACAGTTATAAATTCAGATTCATACTGACAAATTGCGTTTAGCGCACTTCAAATGGAAAAAATTTCAGTTGAAAATGGCAAAGCAAGAACCAATACATTTTTCTATATAAACAATTAATCTTGCAAAAGTGCATAAAATTCAAACATAAAATAAATTAAAAACAAACAATCGAACAAGTATTTAAAACAAATTGCTATTTATGCCAACCTCAGAATCGCCTCCGGCGATGGTGTCCCACATCTCCTTGACCTCACCATCCATTGCCGCCTTTTCAGATGAGGATCTCCTGGGAAATTTGGACCCCCTCTTCTCCTCCTTATGCCTCTTCTCCTTCTTCAACCTCTTCCGATTGCCTTCGTCGCCATCGCCGTCATCGTCCACCAAATCAGAGCTCACAGGCAGTTTTCCCACGTGGCCCTTCTTGATCAGCCGCTTCCTCGGCTTCGATTTCAACGACGATAGATCGTCGTGGACGGGGGTCTGGGACCGACCTCGGTCGGGCCAATCGTCGTTATCTTCCAGGACGTCATCTTGGAGGGGCTCGGGGGACGGGTCGCGACCAGCTCCAAAGTCGTCGTAGTCCATCAATGGCTCCCCATCTTCGTCACGGTACCTGAAACAATAAGGATGATTAGGTGCAGGGAATCCAACAAAACCCTAACCTAATCGTGAGTTCGCGAGAGAGGGGCTTATGGATTGTCTTCGTACGCCATTGTGCGGTGTCAGGAATCAGGATCCCCCAACTGCGAGATTGAGATTTCACGAGCGATGGAAAAGTGATTACCAGAACATGAACCCCCCCAAATTACACGACCGATCTCCTTCTCTTTGAGTTGTTCTCTCGTGCGCACACACATGAACCGATAGAAAATTTGGCTACCGTTAGATTAAAATCTAACGCCTGAAAAGAAAACCGAGAATTTTTTACCATGGGCTGTCCGGGCCACCCACGGTGCGGATCATGAGCTCTTCGGGCCGTCCATTACACATAATTGGACTCTCCAAGCCACCCATAACCCGTCTTGTGGTGTTTGGTACACATCTGCTCTTACTAACAATGACCTTCACGACTATTAGTTGGCAGGATTGCGGAGACTGGTTTGCATCATCCAGGCCTTCCAAGTATGCTCTTCAACTTCCGTTTTTAGATACCTACTACGGTTTTTCCTTGTAAATAGCCAAGTCAATCAAAGGAAACGGTAATCGTCACTTACTGCTCATAACTCTCTCAAGTTTTCTTCTATCTACTACTTTTCTAACTCAGGCATCGGAGACCATTTGGTGGACATTGTGCTCCATTTTTCGGGGGGTTAGTTAATTAAGCTAACGGTGTTTATTCTCTTGAAAGTGGATTTTCGTCAGTTCAATTTGTGTAAGAATTTGCATCTACAAGTTGGAACTTTCATTGAGTGAAAAATTAAGACATACTTAATGCGTGCTTAAAGATTTGAGTAAACAAGCTAAACCCTAAAAGGCTTTCTTCAGTGTTCTCTGTTATTCGCTCATTGTTCTTGTTCACATCAAACACCTAAGGTGGATACGTGAAGAACTGCGAGCAAGAACAATAATGACCAATCCTGGCAAGATGGGATTGTCATGTAGTCTATGAGGCCTTAAAACGTGAATCTGGAGCTTTCATTGATTATTGACCCCACCAAAACCTTTTATTCGAGGATTGTAGCCACTTTAACCATGAGACGGGATTGCCACGATTTCGTCGAGGCCCAAATGGCCATTATGATTATTACCGCAATTGTCATCCTGCCACCACCGTGGTCACTATGATATTAGCTGGTTCGGCCGGCTACCGACGAACAGCCACCACCAATTAGGTAACCACTTACCGATGTGTTGCCACTGGTTCAGCTGAATTTTTTTTTATAGGGTGGTTCTAACTAAATCAATTTCGCGATCGAGCCCGTTGATTTAGAAACCCTAGCTCCCATGGGCTTTAGCACATCATTGCAACCTTCGGTGGATTTTTGCCCACAGTGTATCTTGTGTTTACTAGCAGACTTGTACCAGAGCAGAACATTTGGGATCTACCCATCTGGAAATTATTTCTTTGCAAGTTGTAGACTTGGCGCTCATTAGCAAAGAGGATTCTCAATCAAATCATTGCTTATCCTAATCTCGTTAGTGACCTTGATCTTGGCTTACCAAATTCAAAAGAGTTTGAGTAGGAGTCCCCATTTTGCTGAAGTCCAGGAAAATAAGTTGCTGACGACATAGTTCTCATTTATCAACAATAGAGGCAAGAGCTTAAAGAACTTCCAACAGACAGAGAAAGAGATCGAGTAACGAAACATCCATAAGTGTTTATTCCAAGCTAGGACTCCACTCCGACGTGCCTACCTTTCTTAAGTCCAAGGCAAGTGTCCAAACTCGGCTCAATCTTGAAGGAAGTGTTTGTAATGAAAAAGGCTTAAGTCATTGAACCATCTAGGAATATGAAGTAGCACGTCGATTCAGTGGAAGCAGGCTTCACTAATTCTCTAATCCAACTGTTGGAGGAAACGAAACGCAGATCACCGCAACACCGCAGAGCGACATAGGAGCAAGCAGGAAGATAACCCATCCAATTTGAAGACATATAGTGGATGCTTGACGAGTGACTCATTGGCTTCAAGCCATAAGGAAACTTGGAAGAGTCATGAAAGAAAAATTATGTCCTAAGTAAAAACATCCAAAAGTATTGGCATACAAGTATTAACATTTTAAAAAAGGCATGCACTCTAAACAATTCTATAACTCATGACTTTATAAAACTCTTTACCAATTAAAGAGAAGAGAGAGTTAGAGCTTTCATTACCCTTGAAGCTTGTCCTTGATTCCAAAAGAGATTCACCCAAGTGGATGACCTTCAAGTTCACTCCTAACTCCTCGAATGTTTCCTTGTGTTTGTGTTCTTCTCTCCTTTGATGATTGCTTCTTTGCTTCTTATTTGCTCCTTAAGGATTTAAGGAAAGGAACTCCAAAGTTTGCAAGGTTGCAAACCTCTAAGTCTCCACACCAAGGATATGGTGTGAGAAGATATGGATTACTTGGATGAGCTTTGATGCTAGTAAAACTCCTTAAAGTGGCCAACCTCTATGTAGAGAGAGAAAATGTTTCTCTTTGCCCTGAAGAAACCTTAATGAGGGAAATGCTATAGTCACTTTTATACATCCCTTCATTTGATTGGCAAACTTGTAATAAGTCCACTCCTCTTACCTTGGGCGACCATCCTTGTTTAGCTGGCCTAATTGCTCATTTCATTTTAGTTGTCATACAACTGTGCTCAGTGGACCAAAACCCGTTTAGGTCCTGAAACCTTAAACTAACTTAAAAGCCTATACGAACTTTTCATATGATTAATTAGCTGAGCAATTAATCTTGACCATGATCAATTAAACTATTTAATTGCTTATCCATCTCATATTATCCCAATTAGCGAGGCAGTGTGCGATTGTAACTCTTAACAATTGATTGTGAATTGAAACTAGATAGTTTGTTTCATGTCTACTATCTAATATGATACTTCTCTATATGATTCTATTGAATGTGATTTGGAACGTACTTCCTAAATGTCATTCATATGCTTGGACCAAAGACTCTTGAACCATATCTCAAAGTATTCTCCTTCCACCATGGAAGGTTAAAGATATTTTGTTGTGTATTCACATGCCTACATGATCAGGTAGCTTAACCATTAGACAACGATAATGCCATCTCCAATCGAATGGGCTATGTTTAGCCTCCGTCTAGATTATAGTTTTGCAAGAAATTATTTTTTAATGAACATTGCCAAACCATATTTATATACCATCTCCAACCGAAATGGGCTATTTTTTAGCCCCCTCAATTGTTGATGCACAAAATTAGTGAGACTTTGGAAAACCATAAAGTGTCAAGTTTGTGACCTTCGCTCGGTTGCTCCGGTCACTAGTGAGGATAAATATGTAAAGAGATAGAGATAGGGAAGCAAACACAAGATGTATGTGGTTCACCCTAAGTTTGGCGGTTATGTCCACGGAGTAAAGAAGTTCTCATTAATAGTGAATGGTTTACACAAATACATAGGTTCAAATATAATCATCATTAGTGAGTTCTAATGATTAGTTTAAGTACAGTAAGGGATTAATTGTAGGAGAATGGTCTCCTTTTATAGTTGAGGAGAGTTTTTAGCTTTTGTTCGAGGTCGATGTGGGACTTTATGAGCTTTATTCTGACGTTGACATGTGTCGCGCTATGATTGACCTCTTGGTTGCTGTGATTGACCTCTTGGTTGGAGGGAAACTCTTGTACTTCGGCAGGATGCCTCAACATGAACCCTTTAGTGGGTCCTTGAAGGTATGATGTTAACCGGTGCTCGGTAGTTTCAGGATTGGTCAAGTATGGTACAAACATATTTATAGCTTTGCATGAAATTATTTTTTAATGAACATTGCCAAGCCATATTTATATACCATCTCTAATCGAAATGGGCTATTTTTTAGCCCCTTCAATAATTTATTATTTTAAGTTTGTTCTCTAATTTTACTAGTTAATTGAATTAAACTACTATATTAAAATAATATTTTCGTACATATTTTTAGTGCCACTTGAAGATATGGTCATTTGAAAATTATTGGAAAAAAATTAAAGGAAAGATTATTCGAAGAGGTAAGAGATGGGTGTGTAGGAAAAGAGTGTTTGAGGTGAATAGAATGTGAAGAATTGAAATAAAATGAGGTAAGATAATATGAAAGGGTGAAAATGATATGAGAAATGGTGTAGAAATGTCTTAGGTATTTATAGGAAAAAAATTATAATTTTTTAAAAAATTTCGTCTTTAAAAAAAAAAAAAAAAAAAAATCCAGTTGGGCCCAACTGAATGGGCTAGTTGGCTAGCTAAGAATGGCCAACCCGTTGCCCATATGGCTGGATTGGGGTTTTTGGCCCAGACCTCAATTGGAGATGAGTTTTGTGTCAAAAAGGGCTATCATTTGGCCTATGGCCCTATGACTGGCCCGGTTGGAGATGGCCTAATGCCTTAGGTCAAAGGACTACTTTGCATTATTGCAACTTATGAGTCCTTACTTGACATGTATGTTTGAACTCTCTCTTGATTGTTGTTCAGTGTACTCAATACCCTTTCGAGTACCTATGTGTTTGTCTTAGTGTCTAACATGTAATGACTTGATACTAGTCATACTCCCGCTTAAGTTAACATAACACATACTAACCTTAATAGATTGTCAATGCCCAATTGGCAATCTTATGGCTAGGAACATTTTACAAATGAACATAAGAGAGATCTCGTTAATCTAACTTAGATTATTTATCTCTTAGGTTGAATACATTTGTCGGATTATGTTATTGCTTAAACACATTTCTCAATTATTATAAATTACAAACTGTGTCAACTTTATTATTTTTAAGCCGCCGTATGAATTATTTTAATTCACGCGGGAAGCTCTTCAATCCACAATTGCCCCATCAGAAGCATTTCAACAAAACCGATACCAACCATTTAGAGCCGCTAGAAGAACAACATAGCATCCCAATGGAGAAAAGCGTTGCCTAGGACTTGTTCTCTAACCGGGATGCTTTGGGCCTAGTTTTTGGGAACTCACAGAAGAGGGCACGAAAGCTTCGTCTAGTTCTTTAAACAAGTCCAACAAAGTCCTCGAACAAAAAAAGCCCAACAACTTATTATTGAAATGACTAATTTATCTCTAACATATTTAGTTCATGAGGTTTTCATTAGTCAATGGCAATTTTGGAATTTTCAAACTATTATTAGGATGACTAATTTGGCCCTATTATATTTAGTTGCTTCTTGTTGAGATTTTTACTAACCAAGGACCTTTTGGGGTTTTTCAACCATTTTGTCTTTTTCTGAGTAGAACAATATTTTACATTAAGAGGAAGGGGGGTTCGGCTAAGCCACATAATAGACAACCTAATTTGGTATCAAATTCGCCATATATGAGATTTGAACTTAATACTTCTCACTTGAGGAATACTACTAGACCATTGTACTGAATGACAACCATTTTGTCTTTTTAAAGAGTTCTAAATTTCTCTTTCAGTTCATAGAACAAAATAAAAAAATGCATAAGGTGAGTAACTTTCATGGAATGACTTCACCGTCCGATGATATATTAGTGACATATCAACCCATTAAGATGTTAATGAGTTGCCATTAACAGTAGAGATTTTTCAGCCCATGACGTTGTGACATAATATAGAACTGAGATTGATAATATAAGATAAAATTAAACTAAATAGATTTTAACGAGTATTTGTTAACAACTCAGTTGGTTAATTTTTCACATGTGACAATGTCATAGGCTCAAAATTGTTGTCATTGTTACCGCATGAGACAAATGGACTGGAGGGCCAACCGTCCGACCAAAAACAAAAGAAGACGGCGCCAATTTCAATCCCAAGATAAGGTTCTTGCGTTCTCTATTTCCCTCTTCTAATCCTCTCTCGCGCAATTTTGTGGCTCTCAATCTCCTTCCTTGATATACCACCCACGCCCTTCTGTCCTGAAGAGAAAGAGGAGAGAGAGGGGGAGAGAAACAAAGCCATTCTGATAAACCCTAAACCATGACTACTCTACAAGCTTCGCTTCTTCTCAGCCTTTCACTCTCTCCAACACCTTCTTCTAAATTCAAACGTTTTCAGCTCTCCCGCTCCTCCGCCTCTTTTACTTGGACCCCTAATCTTTATCAAGCTACGCCTCCAAGTTGTCAAAGTTTCGGATTTGTCCATCGTACTCTATCGATTTCTTGCACATTGCACCCTGACAATGCCAGTACGAATCAAGAATCGGACTTGGCGGTGAGTTCTGAAGTTGAAGGATCGAGTTTGAATGAATTTAGTGGTGGGAATAATTCAGTATCCAATGTGGGTAAGCCGGAAACTGAGGAATTTGGCGGAGAAAGGTTGGATTTTGAGGTGGAGAGTACGTCTGGGGAAATGGGTTTGGAGAATGGGGACGGAAAGAGTGAGAAGGTGGCGGAAATGGAGGGAAAGAGTGGGAATTTGGTTGGGCAGAAGAATGGAAATGGAATGCCATTGGTGGTGTTCTTGATGGGGTTGTGGGCAACTACAAGAAGTGGGTTCTCGAAGGTGTTGGCTTCCGATTGGTTCAGTTGGTGGCCATTTTCGCAGCAGGAAAAGCGGTTGGAGCGTTTGATTGCGGAGGCTGATGCCAATCCCAAGGACGCTGTAAAGCAGAGTGCTTTGCTGGCTGAGCTCAACAAGCACAGGTTAAGCCATAGAGTATAATAATTATACTTTGTGTTATAATTTCTATTAACTCGTGAAAAGATAAGTTTTCCATTTTCTAAAGTTTATAATGTTATGTTGCTGTTCGTATATAATGGGATAACCAATTCAAGTGAACCATACGACTGTATTAGTCTCAGTCAATGGTGGAAGGAAACCATTTGCTATGGAAAGATTTCAATTGTGTAAATATTCTCATTAAACTACAAAAGGTAGTTTGGTGTTCCAAGAGCTGTGCGGTTATGTCCTTTCTTTGTTTGGTGTTCCCTTTGATAGTTTCATATTCTTTGTTGAGTGGCTATGCTCATGGAGTGGAGGTTTTGTGAAGAGGAATAATAGGGCTGTTGGAAGTCTTGAAAGATTATCCTCTTGGGTACTTTTTGTGCTCTCATTGGTTGGAAAGCAGTAGGCGTAATTTTTGGAGTGGAAGTTTCTGACTGGGAGTTAACTTAGACTTAATCAGTGTTTTGAATTTGTCCCTTCTTTGGGCATGCAATTTTTGAATTTGTTCTTTATTCATGTTTAATGATTGATAGGAAACTTGGTAAAGGAAAAAAGAATGAAGTTCTTAACTAATTACTTAAGAGGCTTCAAATTGATTTAACTTTTTATTCATATCTCTGGAGATTAAAATATAAAACCTTTTTCTTTGTTGAATGAATAGGATGGATTTTCAATTTTTGGCAATCCAAAGATGATTTCATGTTTATACACTTTAGTTACCATTTAGTTAATTCTACTTCCGCGTCATGTTTGATTCTTTCAAAATAGATTTGGTTTCATATTTCAATATATATACGAAATACTTATGCATAATATGTAATTTTTCATCTTCCTTGGAGGACTAACACATGAGCAATTGGTTTGATTTATTTGTTAGTCAACCTTTGGGTATTCTCCCCCCTGCCTAGCACTGTTCCAGTTAATTAATCTTTTGGTATTTTCTTTCAGTCCTCAGTCTGTCATCAAGCGCTTTGAACAAAGGGATCATAGTGTGGACAGTAAAGGAGTTGCTGAGTATCTGCGAGCTCTTGTGGTCACTGATGCTATTTCTGATTATCTTCCAGACGACGAATCCGGAAAGCCGTCTAGCCTTCCTTTATTGGTAATCATGTTGTCCTGCATTATTTTTTTGTAGCTCTTCCCTGTCCTCTCTTAAAAGGAAAAAAACTCTTCTTTATTGTTTTTATCTACTATAATATCACATCCTTTATCTTCCTATTTTGGGTTTTTAGTTCTTACGTACTGATCCTTTAGTGTGTCACTTCCTTTCGTGGTTTAATAAAAGTCCAAATTATATGAATGAACCACTAATATGCTAGAGGAGAAACGAAAAGAGGCACTAAGGCCTTTCACAGTAGTTTGAGTGAGTGTTATAACTATATATAGGAATCAGGCAGCCTGAGTTTTACTTATAACACTACTGCTACACTAGTGCAAGTTCAATAACTGTAAGAGTCATATTCTTTTTTATAAAATTAGATTTTGCATAATTATAAGTATCACACTCATGAGTTTAATATAATGATCATGAGTTCAATACATTGGTATCACACTCACTTTTTTTGTCTTACTGTGAAAGGCCTTAGCCTATGAAATTAATTCGGATTGAAATATTTAATGGGTAAATAAATGTCCTTATGGTTATGTAGTTGTAGATCCATATATTATAGTAGGCTACCTAAGAGTATTTAATCTAGTGGTCAGGCCCTTGGTTTGCTCCCAAGTGGTCTGGGGTTTGACTCTCTCCCATGGTACCCACCTAGCAAATTCTAGAGTTTCTTGCTCCCCAAATGTTGTGGGGTCTAGCGGGGGGGCCTAGTCATTAGTCGGGTCAAAGACTCGGAGGCACTAGTTTAAAAAAAAAAAAAAAAAAAAAATATATATATATATATATATATATATATATATATATATATTAGAGTAGGCTTGAAAAGATTGGAAAATGGGTCAAGGCATATATAAGCTCATTTCATTAATGCGGAAGTAGGATTGTTATTTTAACCCCAGGAGCTTCCCATGGACACTTGCTATTCATACGGTGTTCCATGCATTCAGATTCTACGTGAGATGAGTGTGTGTGTTGCCAAAATAAAGCACTGCATAAACTCAGTCATTGTATAAGAATGATATGTACAGTAACTTGTCTGTACATTTTAGTTGGAATGTTACCAAGACAAGATTGTAATGGTTCTATGTCACTTCCTGCACAATAGATAAAATTAGAAGCTCTTGATGCACCGATATTATGACTGGAAGACCGATTCTTTAATCACAGTAGGAACAGATTCCAAATGATTAGCATCGGAAATTAGAGAGATTAAAGCAATACAATCAATGCAGAGTAGGTCCACACAACAAGCATCTTCTTCTTGTTTTCAAGAAATAGTTAGATATCTTTATTGAACCTCAGTAGAGACATTTAGGCAAAAAAGAATGAAACTTTTTGTTAACTACATAATGTCAATCGTTAATAGATCTATTAGTTGGTTTTCTGTTCTTTGTTTTTGTTGTGGTGTTTGGGCTGGTCTGCTGGACCACCCTCTCCATGTGCCTTTTTCTTTCTCCTAATAAAATTCTCTCCTTATCAAAATTTTTTAAGGAAAACTAATGAAAAGGGCTTGAAAACTTTAAGTTTTAATGATAAGGACAAAATAAAGGGTAAAGTGAATAGTACCATGATTGACTTTTTAGTTTTAAAATTTGGTTTTTTGTTTAAGTGAACAATACCGGGAGCTTTTCGTTAAAGTTCCCATTTTTTTATTAGAATTGTACTCATATTTCCTGCTGTACTCGAGTAACCTCAGGGAAAAAAAGCTCCCCACACCTTTCTATTACTCTTAACTGTGCTCTTGCAACATTTAATTTCTTCCTAATTTTTATTTTTGTGGCATATTTCCCTTTGTTCGGTACTTTCATTCTCTGGACATGCCCTTATCTTCTTTTTGTGTCCCCTGTGATATAGTAGTTTTATTTGAATGAGTGAGTATATATGCAGCTACAAGAGCTGAAGCAGCGTGCATCAGGCAACATGGACGATCCCTTTCTGAGCCCTGGCATAAATGAGAAGCAGCCATTGCATGTGGTGATGGTAAGTTTCAGTTCGAACTGTAATCTTGGTGCAGACAAAGGTTGTCAGCGTTGTGTTCTTTTGTACTGGTTTGCATTGTTTTGATTTTCATTACATGCTCTCTCCCTCTCTCTCTCGCACTCTCCCTCTCCCTCTCTCTCTCCGCCCCCTTGCTTCTCTTTTAATCCTTATTCCTGAATCCTAATACACATCTCATTTATTAGGTTGAACCTAAAGTATCAAATAAATCTCGTTTTGCACAAGAGATTATATCAACTATCTTGTTCACAGTTGCTGTTGGATTAGTGTGGTATGAACATTTCATTTTCATAGTCTCTCTCCCTCTCTGTGTATTTACTGGTTGCTTGCATTTAATCTCAAGTGTTCATGCTCTTTAATGTGGAACTTGGTAAGGTTTGTGGGTGCTGCTGCTCTTCAAAAGTACATAGGGAGCTTGGGTGGGATAGGTACATCTGGTGTTGGCTCAAGTTCTTCCTATGCCCCAAAAGAGTTGAATAAAGAAGTGACTCCCGAGAAGGTAGATGCTTAATGTTCTGCAATCAGATTATTGATAGTATCTAAGACTTTCTACAATTAGTTTCTCTCTCTCTTCTCTTCTCTTCTCTTTTGGTTCCATGAATCAGGAATTAATGTTGTAATATACGCTGATCGCTTAAAGTCTGCAAAGAAAATTTAACATAGAATTTAATAAAGAGAAGCTAACCTTTTAAATGGGATAATTAGTCTCATGTTTTGCTGCAAGTTGTGTGCTATTTAGTAACTAGATTGGTACTCATCAAGACAAAAATGAATGCTCAAATTGTTACTGTCATGATTTTGTAGTTAAAAATTTGGTAGTCTATGCATTAATTGAGGTTTTCTTTTTGGTTTGGAGGGGCCTATGAATCAGTCATGGAGTTCAAACTGGTTGACAAACCATTTTCATTGTTTTCTTGCAGAATGTTAAAACATTTAAAGATGTAAAAGGTTGTGATGATGCAAAGAAGGAACTTGAAGAGGTTGTGGAGTACCTGAAAAACCCAACTAAGTTTACTCGCCTTGGGGGCAAGTTACCTAAGGTTTGTGTTAGATTTTGGATTGTATGTTTCATTCTTCTCGGTAGATATACTTTTATATTCTTTGCTACTCAAAAGCTGCAAGGAGAATCTTGTTTCCTTAGAATTGCTGTAATACATTAGTATTTGTCCCTCCAACACATACACATACTTTTTTCATGTTTTAACTAAAATCACATACTTTGTTGTTGTATTCTAATTTTGCATGTGTCATTGATGAATTATTGATTGGTTTAACATCCGAAGTCTTATTCAGGCCCTTCATGCTTTAAACGAAAGTTTCATTGATGTCAATATTTCCACTGATTTATCTGTAAATTTCGGCCCATTTATATTTCATCGACAATTTAATCGGGATTATGCATGAGCGATTTTTATTTATTTATTCATTTTTTGCTTGATATAACATACGGGTCTAAGATATACTTAAATTGCAGGGAATTCTTTTGACAGGAGCACCAGGAACTGGAAAGACTTTACTTGCTAAGGTAAGTTGATTTATTATCCTCAATATTCTTGAAAATTTATGGTTGGAGTTATCAAATGTTATATTTGATCTCATTAACGCTTTTTGACACTTATAAATTAATATGCTCCTTAGAATTCATATCCAAACTTCTCCTGCTGCCAAATGACAAGCATTTTGTTAAGATGTTTTAAATTTGGTTTTAATGTAACACATGTTAACACCAGAATAAAGCTTCTAGAGTCCCTTATCGACCGCAGACGAAAACAGGGGACTCTCCTCATCTATAAAAGGAGATCTTTCTCCCACAATTTACCCCGGATTATCTTATTCTACTTAATCCATTATTAGAACTCACTAAATGATGATGATGTCTAAACCCTTGTTCATGTAAATTCTACATAATGGGAACTCCTTTATCCTGGTGGACATAGCCTAACTTAGGGTGAACCACATGCATCTTGTGTTTGCTTCCCTTATCTCTTGTCTCTTTACATACTATCCTCACTAGGTGACTAAAGCAACCTAGCAAGGGTCATATCTTGACACTTTCCGCTGTTCCAAAGTCAACCCGGTTTTGTGCATCAACACCTATCTTAAATGTTTATTGTGATAGTTCTTGTAATGTGCAAATTATGTATAATCTGATTTATGTTGGACCTTGAAGGCTATTGCTGGAGAAGCTGGTGTACCATTTTTCTATAGAGCAGGATCTGAATTTGAAGAAATGTAAGTCATCTTTGACTTTTTTTTTTTACCATAAAAAAATATGTCAACCTTAAGTGTGTTTTTTTTTTAAGCTTTATGGTTTCCCATATTTCTTTTTCGTTGTCTCCGACACTTTTTCTCTGCTTGGGTTGTAGGATGCACTAAAAAGTGTTAAGAAACACTTTTCTTTTATTTATATAAGTGGGTTTGCTTACTATTAAGCTAGATTCTACTGAGAATAATTTGAAGTACTGGTGTTTTGGACTGGTGAAATAATTTATACTATTTATTGTAGATGGTTAAAATCAATTATCCTATGCAGTACAACTCATATGTTCATCATAAGTTATATTCTGTCATCTATCTCAGGTTTTTTAAAAACATAATTTCCTTTTAATATTTCTCACCAATGAAATACCATTTATCTATTAAATGTTTTATATATTTATTTTTAAAATTTCATCTCTGTAAACCTTTTCCTGCATTGTTTGTTATCTAACCCATTATTATGATGTCAGTACCTGAAAATTGAATTGTAGCCCTTGCTCATTATTTAAATTGTTCAGTACTTTTTTTAAGTATTTTTTTTTTCTTTCCTTAGTTATCTTGTGTGAACTGATATTGCTTTGATATGGGAATTACTTAATATTACCATGTCTGAAGTGATCTCATGTTATTTGAATGACAGGTTTGTTGGAGTTGGTGCTCGCCGTGTAAGGTCCTTATTCCAAGCAGCCAAAAAAAAGGTTTGTGGTTGATGAGGCATTCTTTGGTGAAAATTTGGCACGCATGGAAAACTTTTTTATTAGAATATGGATTGGAAACTTTTAATTGAGGCAACTAGTCATCATGAAAGAACCGCAATAAAAAAGATGAAATAATTTGGCATGCACATACATAAAATAGAGACAAAATGATCACAACTGTGCCCATATGGTATTCCCTGTGTAAAGCGGGACAGGTTAGGGAAAGAAACTATGAGAGATTAAGAGAAGAGACTACAGAGATGGAGTTACAAGCACTTAGAAAAGGATCTTAGTATGGTAGGTAAGGCTTCTAGAGGTGGGGTGATGAGAAATGAGAATCACATAGCGAAATAAATGGATAAGTTATTCCACGAAATTCGACTGACAGCAATGTTCTTGATTCTCGACACAGTTGTTGCGAGGGCCCATAAAGGAGAGAAGAGGAACCAATCCAGCCTCAGCCTCCATAATGAAACCATAAAATATTCTCATGCTCCTCGTCATTTAACCCCCATTTCGCTCACACAATAGTCTTCATTTTGTTTTCATAGGGTAATAGCATTCCTCAGAATTTGTTATTATTATTTTCTAAAATTGTGCACGCTGCCATACAAATGATTTGTTAAGTTCTTTGCACGTGTTTCTTATTATTTATTGTAAGATTTCAAAATGTCACAGGCTCCTTGCATCATCTTTATTGATGAAATAGATGCTGTTGGGTCCACTAGGAAACAATGGGAAGGGCATACGAAGAAAACGCTGCATCAACTACTTGTAGAAATGGATGGTTTTGAGCAGAATGAGGTATATTAAAGCACTGTCAAGCATAGTTCAAGGTTTAATAAATGAAGTCTTTCTAGTTTATATAGTTTAAAGGTAGTTACACCTTTATCTGCAGATTTATTGTTTTGGGTTTCTCTAGGTGACAAGATTAATGTATAAGGTGTCATAAAATATGTCTTAGAGTTCCTAAGTGTATTAGTGTGGATATGTCAGAGTTCCTAAGCATATTAATGTGGATCTTTCCTGTTTCTTACCAATTAGCCTAGAAAAGGTTGTAAGCTTATAAATTTTGAATTAGTAAACCAAGGTCTGTTATTTCCTGCTTGTTTGTGCGGCATCAGTTGACTTGGAGTGATTCCAAGGCACCTTCAGTGTGGTCGGTGTGATGCCGGAATTTTTCTAATTTCTGTATAGAATTATTTTGATACACCTTTGGTGATGCCAAAGGCTGGAGTGAGTCCGAACCTATATTCATTCCCATCTCTTGTTACTGTCCTACATCAGCCATTACCTGTATTCATGGTTTCATATTTGATACATCTAAATTGTTATAATTTGTGAAGGGAATAATTCTGATGGCTGCAACAAACTTGCCTGATATTCTTGATCCAGCATTGACAAGGCCTGGTAGATTTGATAGGCATGTAAGTTATTTATATTATCTATTGATTACACTATTTTATTTTTATGATTTCATTTCATTTTATAAGCATCAATTCATTACACTATCTTTTATCTTGGGAAATGGTTGTGGAGATTCCAAGTGCAGATGAAAGCCTTTTGTTATGTTGGCATTATAGTAAGATCACTTAGGGATAGCTCTTTCTTTGAGAATTTTCTGAATTTGAATATACCTGTTGTTTATTGTTTGTGGTATTCTTTGCTGGTTTTCTTTTTGTAATTAAGGTTGGTGATGCAGTTTGGTTTCCTGTTTTAGAGCATCCTAGATCTCTGCTCCGGTAAACATGTTGTCCATTATTTCTACTACTTCCTTTAAATTTGTAGAAACTGAAGCCACAAAGATTAGTGAGCAACAAAACTTTCTTCTAGCAACGATCAAGGTCTCCTTGCTAATTTCCACTTCCAATCACCTATATGATGTTGAAAGCCTTGTTAATCAAGACCACTTAAACACTAGGTTGACACGCAAACCAGAAACATGGCTTGTAAATTCGTAATCCTTCAACATCAACTTCCAACCAAGATCTCTCTAGAAGTACCAATTCCCAATATCTAACACAGCGGAAAATATAGGAGTGCCATAGAGCAGCATCTAAACCAAAGAACACAACAATTTGAATCCATCATATTAATTAAACTCTCAAACTTTGTAATGATGGACTTGAATTTGAATATTACAACAGAAAACTAGGCTTTTAAAATGCCACCATAACCTAATCCTTCTTGGTAATATAACAAGGACAGTGGAATTGGAATGAAAAATCCTAATTAATAAAGGGGAAAGAAAAACCAAATAGGAAAAGGAAAACTAATGAAGTCTTTATAGGATAATCATCCTAATCGAGCTTGTAGTCCATCACCACCTCCACTAGGGAAAAGCTTGACCTCAAATTCTCTACCGCATGCAATGGCATCCCAATAATATGGCAGGTAAATGACATAGGTATTGTCATTAATCTTCTTGAAGATTTTGTAAGGGCCATAATTACTAGACTTCAACTTATTGTAAGTACCAACAGGGAATCTCTCATTCCTTAGAGGAATCATTCAATCATCACATGGTCCCTTCAATGAACACCTTGGCTTTTTCATATGTAAATTTGCACTGGTTTTATACTTTACATTCATGTCCTCTAACTTCTTTTTAACATCCTCTTGGATTACTTTTACACCTTTCCAAAGGTTTTAGCTGTCAAACTAAATCCATGGACTTTGGGAAGCCTCATTAAATCTACAACATGCTTAGGAACAGAAACATAAACCGGTGACGCTATTGGTTTTAGGATGCGTAATGCCAATCACCTTCCATAAAGTAAGAAAAGGCCAAGAAACTTTTTATCATGACCAGATGTAATTGAGGAAGTCTATGTAATATGACCACTTCTCAAATGAACAACCTTGCTATGTTTGATGTATCAGCAGTCTTCTATGAGGAATAAATGTGCCATATTCGAATAAAATCACTGCTATGTTATTTTATACAATTCACTTTTTGGGAACACTTTGTATAGGGATGAGGTGGAGATCTCACATTTACACTTTGCAGATGACACTATATATTTTCTACTTGTGAAGGAGCAGGAGTTTGGAACTTATTCATGATTCTGAAAGTTTTTGGTATTTTTTATGGGATGAAAATGAATAAGAAAAATTGTTCAATTGCAAGGATAACATACCGGAGTTTTGGTTTATGAATTACCATTGCCTTTGGTTTGTGTTATGGGAAGATGGCGTTATAAATACTTCGGTCTTCCAATAGGGTGGAGGTGGTGAAATTTTTTTCCTTCTAAAGGTGGAAATTTACCATTGCCCTTGGGTTGTGTTATGGGAAGTAGCATGCCAATCTATTGTTTTTCATTGTTAGGATTCCTATAAATGTGGCTGAAAGGCTTGAGTATGATGAAAATTTTCTGTGGGATGGGTAAATGAAAGAAACAAGGATCATGTGGTAAGATGGAATGTGATAGCTCAAGTAAACGACGGGTGTCTTAGGGGTGGGAAACTTGGTGAAGAGGAAAAAAAACTATGCTTGGAAAAAAAAGGCTGAATCTTTTAATACTTCCATGGCTAGTTTGTATTTCATCCCTTTTCCTTTTATCTTTGGATTTTGGGACGCAGTAATTTGAATGACGTAGAGCAGGAGGAGCTAACTGAGCTATTTTCTCTATGAGAAATTATTGTGCTGATCCATCTAGACAGGATAAAGAATGAATTGGAATCTTCAGAAGATTCTTCTTGTAAGTCAAAAGCTAATGGACAAGGCTAAAGTACCACCTGAGGTCAAGGTTCTAGTTTGGGTTATTGCTCAAAGGAAGGTGAATACCTTTTGGTATTGGTGAGGAAACCTTATTGGTGCCTTTATATTCAATCATGTGCAACGTGCAAAAGTGATCTGAAATGTTTGAACCAACCACTTCTTCTCACTTTTGAGTTGTATTTTCGTTGTGGTTAATGTTAATGCTGCTTTGGAGGCCACTTTGAGTTTGGCAATTCCATCTACTTGCGATGTATTATTAACTGAAGAATTAAAGTTTTCTTGAAGATAGAAAAGGGGTTTGGTGCTAGGAAGATAGGCTGTGCTGGCAATACATTGGGCTGTTTGGTTGGAGAGGAATAGGAGAACTTTTAAAGTTGTACATTCCAGAACTTGAACGACCAATGGGAGAGAGTTCAACAATTGCCATCCTTGCTGCATTAGGATTGTTCCATGTTTAGGAACTAATCTTTTCATCTATCGCCCTCCTTGCCCTTAGCTTTATTAAAATGCTGCAGTAGATTAGCTTATTCTTAGTTGTTGTCCAGGCTTACTCTGATATGCAAGTTTGGTGACAGTTTTCATGAGCACGTATAATTTTCATCTTTTCTCAGTAAAAGAAATTCAGTCTGCTTAGAAAATCGGTTCATGACATTTGTTTTAGATTTATGTAGGTTTTATAATCAATTTATCCGTAGAAATTTTTGTTTGGCTTTGAAAGATAGTAGACTGACAAATATTATTAAATAGATTGTTGTTCCTAATCCGGATGTGCGAGGTCGTCAAGAGATATTGGAGCTCTATCTACAGGACAAACCATTGGCTGATGATATAGATGTTAAAGCTATTGCTCGTGGGACACCAGGATTCAATGGGGCAGGTCAAGTCCTTTCATTCTATTAAATTAGCATTTCTTTCATAGAAAATTGTGTTTTTGTCTCAAAGTTTGTGTCTGCTGGCCTGAACCTCTCCATTTCTGTATTTTCCTTTTTCATTCTCTACTTGGTCAGATCTTGCAAACTTGGTAAATATTGCTGCCATTAAAGCTGCTGTTGATGGCGCTGAGAAGCTGACTGCTTCACAGTTGGAGTTTGCGAAGGACAGGATTGTTATGGGTACTGAAAGGAAAACAATGTTCATATCTGAGGATTCGAAAAAGGTATTCATATCCTTCACATGTAAATTGAATTTAATGTTACAAACTCCGTTTATATTGAACGTTTTGTTCATTTTGAATTTATGCTTGATGATTGTTTGTGTTCTTAAAGTTCAGTTTACACGTGCATGATGATAAAACTGTGTTCTTAAAGTTCAATTTCATGTTGAGAATCAGTTCAAACCTGTGCTGCTTTTGAAATCATTCTTGAAATCTGGGTACTCTGACCACACATGTGATTGAAAAGACTAGAATAGTATAATTGGAAAATATCTAAGGACACAGATTTTCTTTAGGAGATACAGCATATGATAGCGGTAACGGTATGAGAATTTATATGAGTAGAACAAAGATAAAGATTATGGCCCGAGCATCACACATTCACATGTGTATGACAATCTAAAACAGATCTTTGCTTAGGACTTGCTTCTTAACTGTTGGGACATGGTTTATATTTTAGAGTGTGGGGTCCAGTGTTAGGCTATACTTTTTACCCCGATACCCATAACCCAACTGAACCCGAAGCCCAATTGGGCAAGGAAAAAGAAGCTTCAAAGGACAAGGAGCTTTGTTTAAATGATTGGAGCATCTGTTTAAAGACATGTACACTGGGCACCCTTCTAGAGGGGATGCCCTTGTTGTAGTCATTAGTATATTCACTAATTAGGAAAGAAAAAGGGTCTGCTTCACGGATGCCTCACAAACAATTTCGACAAAAGTGCCTTGTTGTTTATTGGTTTTAACATTCTTTGCACTTTAATTAAGGGCTGCATTTTATCTAGTCATGCTTTGGGAAAAAAGAAAAAGAAAAAAAAGACTGCTGTTTTGTTTACTGTAATGATCCAGCCCCTTTTTCCCTCTCCCACCTGATAGAGAACCAAGCCCACAATTTAAGTGTTTCGAAACTCTATTTTCTCTTGAGACCTACCAGTTAATGCCACGTATATCTTCTCTTCTATGTTTCAGTCTGAAGAAGGCAGTAGCTTGACACACATTTTGACACTTTCTTAGGTCGTACACCCTAAGGTATTTCAACAGCCCAACTGTCTATCTTTTAGATCTCTTTCAGATCATCTCTGCTAATAATAACCCAAACCCGAAACTAGTGGCAGCCATTTTCTTCACTACAAATGAATGTCTAAACGGTTTTGAATCTGTCTAATTTTTTGCTAGGATGATCATGAATGATGAATTGTCCATTATGGAATGGATTGGGAACTACCATATATATATGTGTGTGTGTGTGTTGTATTTATATACACACACACATGATCGGGAGACATTTTTTGACACATCTTAACAGACATGATCGGGAGACATTTTTTGACACATCTTAACAGACATTTTAGACTGTTGGATTAAAGTACTTTCAATGGTTGAGATTGAACCCATTATCATAAAGTAATTCAAATTACCATAACAATTTGACAGTTGATATTTGCATTCTTCTCTCCCTTTCCTCGATTATCGTGCCCTAATTTTTCCTGTCTTAATTTTTCTCTTCTTGTTTCTCTCTTTTCTACTTCAACTCTCATGTTAGGAATCCATTAGTTTCCCTAGCCATTGTTATACTGTTTACATCAATTTAGTTCTGAATCTGATCATTTAAGTATTAACTCAAGAAATGAGGTCATCCAAGTGAGGGAACCTCAATTCACTGTTACAATAGAACGAAATTTTTGAAGCCTCATTTAAGTGTTAACTCAAGAAGTGAGGTCATCCAAGTGAGGGAACCTCAATTCACTGTTACAATAGAACAAAGTTTTTGAAGCCACTGAACCCGTAATCTTTCACATTGGATAATCCCTTGAATAATTATTTTAAGGGACACCTTGTCACCTTGTGGTACTCACTCCAGATTTTATTTCAAGTTTCAACAATCTAATTTATTTTTTTAGGTATCCCCTTAACGATGAATCTTGCAAATTAGACAAATCCAAAACCACTAAGCCATCTATTTGTACCCCCAAAAACATAGACAAATAAGGTGTTATAAGAACCCTGAAAGGACAATCATCTAATTAAGCGGGTTAATGGTTTCGGGGTTGAGTATTGTTTCCAAGGATGATCTTTGAGGGAAGACGTAAAAATAGATGGTTCAAATTATTGAAATACAATATAGATGGGGACTAGTTCTGGGGTTCACTCCATGTTCTTTTACATTGATGCGAACCATTTATTTTTCAAATCTCCATTCATAGATTATCCTTGCAAGAAATCAAATCAATTTGAAACCATTACCTTTTTTATTCTTATGAGCAAATTTGAATGTTTCTTTGAACACAATGTTCGTCAATTTCTTTGAGCACAATTAGATGCCTCAGTCACACCTGATTTTGCTAATATTTGCAAGGGTGTTCCGTGAAGTGAAACTTGAATAGATAGTTCGGATCGTTGAAATTCAATGTGGAGTGGCCCCACAACTAGTCTCCCATATCTTAGAAAACATGTATATACATAATGTATATATTTGTCTATCTTTGGAACAGACGTGCTTCGACCTTATATCAATAATGCATCAATAGCATGTCAATGGATGCATCAAATTGATACGTTATGTTGGTGACAATGATCATGAAAAATTATTGATGCCAGCTTTAAATAAAGAACGGACAAATGTTGTTGTTGATGGAATATTAGTAAGGGTTGTCAGACTTAGGTGAGAAGAGAATGAAGTTGGATGTGCAAAACAGATTGAATTTGTGAGTTTGTTCATATGTTGTTGTGGGAATGGCAGTAGTGAGTCAGTGATTGTGATAGCAGCTTCCTTTTTCTTGGTTTGGTTTTGTCAGTGATGGTAAAGAGTTTAAATATATGTATGTAGGTGATGTAGTCATATTGTCATCTGTTTTGACTCTATATTCTAGTGCAGATTCTAATTTGGACCATTGCATCCAGAAACGTTTTAGTTATTACAAATAGTCTGCTTACAGTTTGACCTTGCATTGTTATTTGCTAATATGCTTACCCATCGTTCAGCTCACGGCATATCATGAAAGTGGTCATGCAATTGTTGCTTTGAATACTGAGGGGGCACATCCAATTCACAAGGCAACAATTATGCCTCGTGGGTCTGCTTTAGGAATGGTCACCCAGCTCCCATCAAATGATGAGACATCAGTTAGCAAGAGGCAGTTGTTAGCCCGTCTTGATGTCTGTATGGGAGGAAGAGTGGCAGAAGAGATCATCTTCGGTCAGGATCATATCACAACTGGAGCAAGCAGTGATCTTCACACAGCTACAGAGCTTGCCCATTATATGGTATTTCTATTTTTCCTCTTATGTAAAAATTCATATTTTCCCTTAAAAGTATTGATGTAAACACGTTAATATTCTTACTAATTAATTTTATCTGCTCCTTGGATAGCTTTGCAAATTTTTCAGTCAATGCAATTGTATGTTTGAAATGGCCTTTCTTCATCTTTTTCTTAGTTATTAAATATATGCTCTGCTTTTGTAATGTTTGCCTTCAGAGTTTCCATCTTGTGGTGACTGAAGCACTAGTCCTTTCTCAATTTCATCTTTTTCTCAGAAATAAGCACTTTTATGTTAATCGCCTAACGCTGTTGTCAACTTTGTGATTAAGGTATCAAACTGTGGCATGAGCAACATCATTGGGCCAGTTCATATCAAAGATCGTCCGAGTCCAGAAATGCAATCTCGTATTGACGCTGAAGTATGTTCTCGGAATCCTGGGTGATCATTATGAAATGATTATGATATTAGTTTGGGACCTAAATTTGGTTTAAATTGTTCTACAGGTGGTGAAACTGTTAAGAGAAGCATACGATCGTGTAAAAGCACTTCTGAAGAAGGTTTGTACGTATTTTATTGATTTATTTTGCACTAGATGCGTAGAACAGGATATGGGATATGGTCCCATAAAACAATATGAACATCTCCAAAAACTGGAAATCTCTCTCTCTCTCTCTCTCTCTCTCTCTCTCACACACACACACACACACACACACAAATGGTAAACCCGATTTGAAATTTGGATATGTCATCATGAGACGAGGCTTCCAATCTTGAAATTCATATCAATCAAATAGATGCAGATGGCGGATAAGGGAAGCAAAAAATAAAAAAGTTGATTGATGCTTTTCAATTTTATAATGCAATTTTATAGTTCAGACCCTGCCTCTTTTGTTTTTGGTAGAAGAGAAGGGGAGGAGAGTGGAGCAAAAAGAAAGAAAGATGGACAAGGAAAGGAGGTTGCCGGTGGGAGAGCTGTTGTGGAGGTTGTAGTGGGTGGATTGGGTGGCCATGTTTTGGGGGGTTTAATTTCAGTGGGTGGCTTTAACAAGGGATATGGATAAAACAGGAAATTTGATGATATTTTGTAGGTGGGGAGTGATTTCAGCAGATTTAGAGGAGTCTATAGAGCTTCACTTAAAAAAATTACGAAAACCCTTACGGTATCCTGACTGTATCCATCATGTATTCTTCTAGTTGATTCCTAGCGATATTTGAAATTCTAGTATGTCAAGAAGTTACATGGCATATATCCACTTCTTTCGGGGAACATTTTATATCTGTACAAAATCTTTTATGATGCAGTCATTCTGTTGCCTTGGCACTAGAAACATTACCGCACAAGATAGTTTGATGCGTTAAGCATTTTATGTTGCCTTTACACTTGAAAATTGCACCTCTTGTTTGTTGCTTTGTTACTTGGCTTGGACTTGACTGACTCTCCTTTTTTTTTTTTTTTTAACATTTTTCAGCATGAAGAGGCATTGCATACATTGGCAAATGCACTTTTAGAGTACGAAACCCTTGGTGCAGAAGAAATCAAGCGTATTCTTCTTCCGTATCAGGATGGCTTGCTACCCGAGCAACAAGAGGAGCAACAAGAGGGGGATCTTGTACTGGTTTAAACTTCATCTCCTTTTCTTTGATGTAATTTTATCCTCTTTTTTTTTCGGGAAAAAGGGGAAAAGGAGGGGTGGGGTTTGGGGTGGGCGGAGCGGCGGCGGCGGTTGTATAGTGATGCAGTACTGCTTACGAAACTTTTCCGATAGCATCCACACTGCGTTTTAGGAATTGTGCCCATTTAGTTTGGAACATCACTTTTACTCTCGACTTCAATTGAAGGAGGATACAAATAAACACAAATAAAGAATATTTCCACAATCTTGGCAGATTTTTTTATACGAATTTTGTACAATGAAATGCATTATTTTGTACTAAGCTATGTTGATTGCTTTGGATGATTGAGAATACAATATGTACCGATTGTATTCTCAATCAATTGCTTTGGAACAATTGAGGGTAACATATGGTAAAAGGTCTGTATCAACAGAGTTCATATGGCTTTGCCACCTTATAGTGAGAATGATAACTCACTACTCAAGGATATTTCACGACTATGAGTGATACCTAGTTGTATATCTTATTTCCCAAGTTAATGTAAAACAAGTACATAGAACTTATTCAATTGAAATTATAATGCAATATGATTCTTCTTAATAGGTGCGGATAATAATGTCAAACCCCTAGTGTGATTAATCGCTTTACTTCCGTGATCCAAACTCAAGTCAATTTGATAATTATTACCGAAAACACTTGACATTCTGGCCGAAGAATTTCAGGATCATAGTAACGAAGTTTTGGACCTTCACATGTCGTCACGAATAACTGGATGACCCGAACGATACACTCGTTAGCCCACTTAGAGGTGTAGTGCATAATCACAAAGTTATGGACTTATCCATATGCAGGGCCGGTTTAGAGATTTTTGAGGTCCAGGATGACGTTAAAAAATATCTTCTGTTTGGCTAATCACAAAGTTATGAACGGTACACTCATGCTTTGTAACTTCTGTTTGGCTACCAAGAAAGTATCTTTATATAAAATTACGAATACCGTTTTGTTTTTTGGTTAATTTACAAATACCCTTTTGTTTGGTTGCTGAGAAAATGTGAATTTCGTAAATTTCAAGAAGCTGGAGAAGCGGAAGGTCCTCAGCAACATCGAAAAGGCTGGGCTTTTGTCCAAGGCGGAGGAGCTCGGGGTCAACCTGTCGTCGATTGAAAATAAAAAAAAATGTTCAACTGGTGAAATAGATCACCCATTAGCTTAACAGGTTGAGTTTGAATGACCCGTTAAATTGACAGGTCGGATTAAAGCAAACTCAAACCCAATAAACCCGACCTGTTTATAGGTCTAGTTTACACATTTGACATGTCGATAGAACTCTATGCAAGAACTTGGCTAGTTTGATCACGTTCGGTGTACTCAATCTCCATTGAGCACTTACATACTTATCTTAGTGTATAACACTAATGGCACGAGACCCACCATTCTTTATTCAAGAGGATATAGTACGTACCGATATATCTGAAATAAAGATATCCACAAATATAATCCTATCATTGCCAATAGTTTAGGATTGCACATACTTAATTACGATTGTAACGAAAGTGAGGGATTTACGACAATTACATAATGTCCCTGTTTGTCATGCAGAGTCTCACAAAATCTTCCCTCTTTTCTTTAAATTACATCTGAAAACGACTTGTAAACCTTATTGTCACCGTTCCAAAAATTTCTACAATAAAATTAGTTAGGTCGCTAGTATAGTTCCCTATCTATAATTTTGCTATGTACTTAAATATTAAATATAAATAAATTTACTGGAATATTAAAGGAATCCCTTGGATGGGTAATACGTACAATTTTAATGTTTTGCTTATGTGCAAAGTAACAAATATTATAATCGAGTCGTTTGACCACTTTTCAATCATTCATTGAATGATAAATCACTAAATGAAATTATTCAGAAATAACCATTGAATGCTAATATGTCGTTCATCTAATTTGGGTTCTCCCTTCCCAAACACCTTAATTCCCATAATTTACCAATTCATCTGAAATGCGAATAGATTTGGACAAACTCACTCAGCCACCATTGACATGCGGATGTATATCATATAAACTCCCAAAATCTCTCAAGGACACAAATCAACTACTCTTTGGTCTAGTCGTACTTAACTGCCCGACGTTTAAATAGGTTCTACGAAAGTACGCATAACCAACTACCTTTTGGTCTAGTCGTACTTGACTTACCGTGACGTTAAAAGAGGTTCCAAGTTCGTCACCCTCCGTCATTGATCCAAAAACAAGTCTGAATCCCAAAATAAAATAAAAAGATCCGAATCAAGAGACAATTAATCGTACTACCAAAACCTGACAGCTACTTGCTCCTGTTCCTAACAAAACTGCACAAGAGATGGGGTGTTAGCAGTTCAGAAACCTATACAAGCACATTGTTACCATCATCCATCCTGCTCGCCGTTTAAACCACTACCACAGCACCGCCAGTTAACGTTTCTAAAGCAGCAGCTTGATCCTGCACATTTTGGGCATTTAGGTCGCCAACAACATTTTACGCACTTTGGCTTCCAGCATGTAGGACATTTTAGACACTTTGGTCTTGAACATTCAGGGCATTTAGGTCGGCAGAGCTTTATACTACAACACATGCTTGCACACATTGCACATGATCTCTTCTTCTGCAAACGCATATTCTGCCGAATCTTTTTGAGACGGATTTCTGTGGTCATGTTCTCCATTTCTAGGATAAACCTGCAAAGATGGCGGATGTAATCAGGGTAAAGCTCCAAGTTGCAGTGTCCACCTCCTTTAATCCACAAAGGCTCATACGGATCCCTTGCCATTTTCCACAGCGCATTGCCATGTAACCAATTCACAATATCATCGTCTGTACCCTGGAAGACGAATTTTTCGACACATTTCAAATTATAATCATAATAAAACAAATCAGATGAGTTCAGTTGAGTTAGAGCACTAGTTGGATAATCATATGCGGCACACAAATAGTGAGAAGCTTACTTTAAAAGGTACAAAGATTGTGAACATACACGAGAGAGCCAGAACAGAATTAGCAGACAATCAAAGAAAATTCGGCGGAGGAATGTATGCGCGAGGGAAAAATCAACTGAGGGTGGAAAAAGTCAAGAACAATGACCAGTCTTAGATCCGATACCACTGTTAAATGTAGTAAACACAAGTTAATACATACAATGGCTTTGGTTCTATATACCCTCTAAAATGAAAAGAAATCACATCCCTTTATGTCGAAGGGGAAAAGCAAAAAGCAAATATCAAATACCAAGTAAATTTGGGGACAAACCCAATGCTTGCACTCCATGCTGAGTCGCTGACGTGTCCCTTGTATTCCCATCCTTTCATCTGCTTAACCCAAATATATCTAGAATACAAACGTTGTAAAAACCCAAGACCTAACCCAAAAGTGCTAGCTGGAGGTGACTATTAAACTCATGGACCTTACTTAAGTACCAATATTTCATTTCCGGTACAAGAGTCAGGGTATCACAATCTCCATACCTTGAGAGCTTGGGATCCTCTCCAAGTTGTCTTAACCACTAGACGGACCTTTCCAATGTGGGAATAAATACGTATCTACATACGGATCACATCATTTTAACCACACTTTCGCTGTATATTATCAACACAGTAGGAGTGTAGGGCACACAGAAGCATCTCCTTCTTCATTGGACACTCAGTTTTTGCTTTAAACAAACAAGTTAATAGTGTTCTGATAAAAATAGAACCCCAAGAACAGGTCCAAATAGACATGACATGTTAATCTTAAAAAGGTCATATTCACTTGTTTAATCTGCTGGTGATTTGAAAAGCTCTTTTTTCGAGTAATTCAACAGCTGCGTTGAGGAAACGGAAGCAAGACTAATTGGACATGTTTATTTGGTCCTTAAGAAGCTAGGTTATTTCATCGAGTTTTTAGCATATTTTAAAGAGAGAAAATGTAAGAAACTCACAAAGAGAAAATTATCACACATGGCCAAGGATCAGAGGTTACATAGTCGAAGAGGAACTAAATAAAGATGCAATTCATAAAAGGAGCATGATAGAAGAGGAACTACAATTTTATATACATTAAATAATACTCAAAGCATCTAAATGAAAAACGGCTCATAAAATTGGATTTCTTGAGAAGTTTTTAAACTCCTGGAACAAATTAATTCTAGCTTCCATGTTTTTCCTTCTTAAGTCCTCAAACTTCATTGAGCACTTACTTTACTGTCCTTCACAGATCATCAAGAAATTGGATTTATCAACTTATACCCCAAAAACCCTAAGTGTTTGATGTGCCTAACTGCAGTAGATCGCTTTCTTATATGCTAAATGCTGCACAGTCTTTCACTCAAAATTGTCCCATTACCTCTAATAAACTTCTTATCTTTACCAGAAAAAAGTTTTGTGCATCAGTTAGATGAGATCACGAGAGCCATGAGGACACATAATTTCTATCTACAACTTTCTACCTCCCATGCATTCTCTGATAGTTCTCTATTAGTCCTGTATGCCAGTATCAGACCCTTGCATCGTATCCGAACCAAAGCTCTGTTGGTATTGAATATTTTGCAGGTTGCCAATCAAATCTATTATCTAATGTTCCTTATAACTACAACTAAATTTGAATATATTTTAATATGCCCACAAACTTATCTCAAATACATTTTAATATCAACTAATTGGGGTCGGCTCTACCTAAGCTGTTTAGAGGTTGTTTGGTATTTCATTTATGACGAATTGGGTTTAGGATCCAAGAAGGATACCAAACAGGCTTTTATTTTCTCAGAGCATTGTCAAAGGAGCTAAGTTTTGCACTGGCCTATGATGTACAAAGTACAACATCCTTCATTCAGGCTTGCAACTGTTAAATTTAAGCCATGACACACAATGAAGAGGTAAAAATCCAAACTATACAACTAAAAGAGTGCATCTTTCCTTTAAAATCAAGAATCACCACATAAAGCCAGAAGTTCAGATTATACCAAACAATTTGACGATCTGATTCCGGAAGAGTCCTACACTACCAAGAAGAGTGGTTGACCAGCCAAATAGGGTTTTCCAGGCCCAAAAAACAAGGCAGTGACATATTTGTTTAAGGGGAGAAAACGTCCATATTTGCTCAAAAGCATTGACATATTTTCTTAAGGGGAGAAAAGGTCCTTACTCAGCTAAATGACAATGGAGTCAGAGGTCAGTGAGGTACTAACATATAACCTAATTTTATTTTTCAAGTAAATGATGGTGTGCTGCAAAATATGCTAATACAAAAAATAAACAAATGAATAAATTCAAGTGGAAGGATATTGTAACTTCAGCGGGCCAGGCCTTCAAAAAAGATCTAGCTTACTACTGTTTTAGGCACACGAACAATATGCATTCACATAGTTTTGTTTCACAGAAATTCAAACAGACAAAAACAATGGAAAACTGAAAGGGATCTTTGATTAATATAATTTTTGAACATTTCAAGAAGACAAGAAATACTTACATGTATTACTAGCACAGGGCACTTCACTTTCTTAATTTTATTGATGTTCTGCACACCATTAGAATAGTGAACAGCTTAGAATAGAAACAGAACGAGCTTCAGCAATACATAGTATTAAATCACTCTAACAGTCTATGAGGACGTCACCACGTCAGTGAGTCATTATAATAAGTTAAAAATAGCATAGTTGATAGTTGATAGACTGTTAAGCAAGATATAATCCGTACCTTGTAAATGTCAAAGCAGAATTTGAATTTCACATGGCAAAGAACACGGAGGCCGGAAAGAATTGCACTGTGCAGAACTACACCCCTCAGCCTTGGCAACTTAGCTGCCAAGTGCAATGTTGGTCCACTTCCAACTGACTGCCCATACAAGATCAAATCTTCCTGGCTAACTCCATACTCGGTCTCAAGGCACTCATATACTGCCTCTATGTCAGCATATGTATTTGTTTCACTAGGCTGGATTACATTTGTAAGAAGAAACAATTAAATATTTGTGCTGACAAACACTCAATGAATATGAGCTTTTCGGGATTTATATAAGACGACAAGCAAATCTAGAACAACTGAACTAACAAAACCGTATCTCACTAAGTGGGGTTGGCATAACCCATAAGTTCCAAAGAAAGAAACAAAAGCATAACAAAATCCAGAAGATCAATCCACTCTAATACATCAATAGTTAAATATTGTGGCTACCAACTCTCATGTATGCATGAATATAAATAATTGAATGTAGATACATGTACAATGCAACATTGCTAAGCCATACTAATGATGGTGACAGATAACTGAATCCCAAACTGTTTTTGGAATTATTGATATATCCGATTCCTCGGGCGATAAATGAATCCCAAACTATTGGCATTAGAATTTAATAACAAGGCGGAACAAGAACAAATTTCACATAAATGACTGCAGTACCTTGCCAGTAGAGGCTCCATAGCCAGAATAGTCATACCTGCATAAAAAAATTACATCAGATGAGCGATTAAAGGGGAAAAAAAAACAAGAGTTGATGAAATGGGCATTAAAAAATCTGAAAATCCCATCTCTCACGGTCTTATAATTGCGAAGAAAACGCAGATAATTCGTCAATGAAAATCACAGAAAGCAATTCCCTTTTAACACAGAGATTAAAATAAAGAAACCCAATGATATTGATAGATCATATATCTCAAGTGCCGGAAAGACAAGGCACAAAAAGCCAATAAGAAAAAACCAGTACAGCTGGCTGCTGCGTCTCCATCCAATCCATCCAAACAAAACAAATTAATGACTTTATCGAAAGGGAAAAAGGTAATAGCTAGAGATCTAAAACCCCATCCAGAAATCACTCCCAGAAAAAAAAAAAAATTAATTTTTACCATATGGAAGTAAATAAATTTGATTGCAGGAAAGGCAAGGCAGTAAATAAAAGTAATTGATTCAAGTGTTATTGTTGTTTTAGCCTCAAAATAAATAAAAACCCCACAAAAAGTGAAGAAAAAAAAGTGTAGAGAGAGAGAGAGAGAGAGAGAGAGAGAGAGAGACCCAATGAGATTGACGCGCAGAGAGAGGTTGAGCTGGAGAAAGAGGTCATAGAGCTGGCCGAGGTCAGCAGCATTGCCATGGGAGTAAAGCAGAGTGAGGCGGGCGTAAGGGTTTCGCAGATAAAAAGCAACGATCTTGTTCCCCAGCTTTGTGTCAATCACCAACACGTCCAAGGATTTGTTATCAGGCGGAACAGCCGGCAACGACGTGGTGTTGGTGGTGGCCGATGCTGCTACTGCGCTGAGCTTGCCGTCGCGCTCCCGCTTTTGGATCTTGTAGGTCGGTGGAGATGGCGGAAAGAAGGCAAATTTCGCTGCTACCTGAGACAACATGCACCCCATTCCATTCAACAATATTCCAAATTCCAATCACAGTCCACCCCCAACGCTCTTTACTATGAATCTAATCCAATCCAATGCATGTGTGAAGAGACTCCCACCCACCCAGGTTCTATCTGAACTAGTTTTTGAAGCTAAGGTGGAGAGGGAATGAGAAAGGCCTAAGGTGGTGGAAGTGGTGGTGGGTGGCGGTGGTTGTGGTAGTGGTAGTGGGTGGCGGTGGTGGGGCAGTACAAAATAGTGCAAACTTAGTTGGGGGTTTCTGTTTGATACAGTACACAACACACTTGAGAGAGAGAGAGAGAGAGAGAGAGAGAGATAGAGATGAAGTTAAAAAAGCTGAGTCAAATTAAATTGCATGACTTCATTGCTTGTCAGCTGGACACTGTTGTCTGCAGTGGCAGCGAAAGAGGTCAATATTGTATCTCAACTGGTTTGCTTGCTCGCTACACGACATCTCGTTTTTCGGTCAATTTTGAGGACTCGTGCTTATTCTCTCTTTTAAGTTGACACGGCTCAAAGTTGTAAATTGTTCTGATGATTAAAGTCTTTTATTCAATTTATTTTTTAGATTTAAAATTTTTTTCCTCTCTTTTTATTACTCGTAAAAAAATAATTTGAAAAATTTACACGGCTCCCATGCTCGTTATTGTTTGTTTAGATTTGTAATCCTTTATCTAAGGTGACAAATGGTGCCCGCCTACATTTTTATTACCTTTTCGATATTTTACTAAAAGAAAAATATTATGACACATCTATGATCTGTCGCACATTTAACTTATTTATATGATTAATTTACAATTTTGTAGTATTTAAATATAATTTTTGGAATAAATTTATAAGATACATACTTTTAGCACCTATCGTTGAAGACAAATATTTTAAATTGACACGTGTAACATTGAGAGCTATGTAGTAAGATTTCGTATAAATTTTTAGTCCAAGTGACACATTTTTCATAAATTGCATCTTTATCATTTATGTAATGACCCAAAATAATTGGAAGCTAATTATGAGGATACACCAAACATACAACCATGGTTAACCTTTACACTATTAACCACAATAAATTTTCTTATTCGACAATTATTCATAAAATTTATTTCGATTACTTTATTGCTGCATCTAATCTTCTTATTAGACTGCCTACGTACCCTCAAACGGGATCAAGCCATTAGTAGTTCACAATCATATTTAAACCGTTTATCACTTAAATATTCAAGTGGCGAACTTTTACAATACGAGATTCAAACAATCGAATCACATCAATCGAACATCAAATATGAAATAAGAATGTCGAAATTAACTTAAAAAGGCAAACTCAACTCACTGGCGTGCGGCGGTTTCCGACAAATGGAAACTTAATTTTCCGACTAACTCCAAAAATTACCAAAATTTATAAGATTGTATAACAAGTCAATGGGAAGAATTTTCATATCTGGGCCAAAGTCCAATTCGCACAGGAAATACCTGAAATTGCCCTTGATCTGTTGAAAACCCTAGAAATAGGTGTTCCCGATTCAACGCCAAAACAAACTCCAACGCCTCAACTAGTGCATGGGTCTTGTTCTTGAGGTTAAGGGGAGTCCTTTGGTGGTGGTGATCAATGGTGAAGGTTGTAGGTACAGCGAATCGCCACCATGAAACCCTCAGAGCCACCGACTGCGTTCTTTTCTCAAAATGGAAGCCAAACCTAGTCGAGTTTGGGTGGAAATGGAAAAGGGAGGGTTGTGGAGTTTGGTTCTAGGTGGTGGCTCGATGCAATTAGCCAGAAATTGGCCCAGGAAAACGTTGGATTTCATGGCTGTTGTCAGGTTGAGTCGCACAGGGAAACAGGTCGAGGGTGGATCTGGTTCTCTCCTTCTTCCTTTTTTCCTTTTCTTCCTACTGGGCAGACCACTCTCTCCTTTCCCTCTTTTCTCTCCTCCTTTTTCCATCATAGCCACACATGTGGCGCCCTAGATGGCTGCTCCAACAAAGCAGAAACCTTTTAGATTAATGGTCAAATGACCATTTTACCCTTATCTTTGCTCGTTTAGATCTCTTTCGTTATAACTCCGTTTGGCGAACGGTTTTTGCCTACACGCTCATAGGATCGACCTCTGTCCAAATATGCCAAGAAAAACGGTGAAACATATAAGGATAAATTACGTCCTTGTATAATTTTGTTTAGCGAACTAGGGACATTTTCATCTTTTTCACTTATCAAACAAACTTAAGCCGTAATATAAATGCGTCCTAACTCCGAATACAACTACAAAATACTTAATTTAATAATAAAATCCAGGGACGAGATTTCACATTTCCCTTCACTTGGATTTCATAATCATCAATTAATTTGAATGTCATAACTAAATTACATATTTAAAAATAATCATGGTATTACAACCTATCAATATGATTTCGAGTGACATGTGCTAGTTCATGACCAACTTTCTAGATTTCCTATTTAGATTTTGTCAACGTGCCAAATCTTCTCCTTTAATCATTTTTCATATGTGATTTAGAGTGACACATATCAGTTCATGAGCAACTCTCTATATTTTCAATTAGAATGTTGTTGACGTTGTACCTTTTATCTTCAGCGTTACATGTCAATTTTCATATTGTTGATGAAACAACAATCGGAACTAAGTTTTATTCAATATAAATTAAATAAATACAGCAAATTGTACAAATATCAACATGTTAATACGAGATCGTTTTAAGATCATTAAAAATCAATAAAGTCCTACTATGAGCAATTAGACCATCACCCCAAAAAGATATAGAACACCACTTCAACCCAAGCAAAGCCCCATGAGCTATAAAGAAAAAGTGGCCGGTTTTCTCGATGAGTCCAGATATAACGATGTACCTCGAGCGCTAAGCCAGAGTGTTGTCCTAAAAAGAGATTTTTGGTTTTTGGGGTTGTGTTGGTGTTGGATTGTTGGCCTTAAATTGAGTTTTATTGATATTGGGCCTAATTATGGTATAAGATGGGTTTAAATTAATTGAATATTAAAATAATAACAAATAAGTAATACACGATTCATACAGTTTTCACAATGCATGAACCGGGACTGAAACTGATTTGAACGGTTCGGTTCTCGAAACTAAGTTGAATTTTTTTTTTTTTTGTCAACACAGTTTTTTACGCTTTATTTTGTTGTGATTCGATTCACGGTTCCACGGCTTTTACGCCCACCCCATTGGCGGGTGACTCCATGACGAGAGGAGAGATGAAAGTATAGGTCTTCCAAGTGAGCGATTTGGTGCAAATAGGGAGTGGACAAGCTAGGTTAAGAGGGACTGAGAGGAGGAGATCAGAGATGGGGGAGGATGGAGGAGGGGACTAGCTAGATTTGTTCAATGATAAGGGAACAAAGAAGAAAAAGAAAAGGGACGGAAGAATAGGGGCAGCAGAAAAAGCCAGCAAACGATCACAAGAGAGCAGGCATTTTCCTTTCTTAGCAGTCAGTGGAATTTGATTAACTTATTTATTCCATGTAGTTTGAGATTAAAAAGGGATCAATGTGGCACGCAGCACAAAATGAAATGAGAAGAGGTTTGGCCACCCACAATATGAGAGAGCAGTTTCCTTGTATTTTTAACTCTTTCGTTTCCTCCGATGTGTGATTGACTATTTAATAACTTTCATATAGTTTACCTCCGGACTGTGGAGTGTGGACTAACGGAAGGATTTGTAAACCCATATTACGGATCGAATACAACCAAACCATGGAAAATTATATATACAGCAGAGGATGATAGAATTCATATACTGCAGCATTTATTGCAGTGCATGCATATTAGGGTTTATAACTCTAATGGAGATCACTTACTTGGAGTAGAAGACATCGAAGCCATGATTTTGTCTCCTCTTCTCTTGGATTCGAAAAAGGATCTCTATATTCTCAGTAGGACTAGTATATCACAGTAAGAACCAACAACCCCGATAAGAGAGACCAATCATCTCTTCTCTATTAATTAATGAAATCCTATTTGTCAACCAAAATGAGATGAAAAGATTACTTAGTCTTCTATCGCATAAAAAAATGATGGGTAATAATGTAATTTCATAGGTTCAAATTTTACTATTTTTTATTGAAGCCTCACCTAAAGATAATGTTAAAATATCTTCAATATTAAAAAAAAAAAAAAAACCTCGCACTCACCCCACGTTCTCTCTCTCTCATTCCCTCCTCCTTCTTAGTTACTAAAAAAATATGTTCATACACACAAAGTGTGTAGGCAATTGCTTGTATATATATATATATGTATGAATCTATGTATGTATGTATGTATTTCACAATTACATCTTCCTTTCAAAGATGCGGTTGCCATCAGTTTGCTTGGGTTTCAACTGCTGTAGTTTCAAATTGATAACCACCTTAAGTTTCCCTCTAATATGGTATTAATCCGGTGTATTCCATATTATTGAGTCCATATGAAATACAATCTTTTTACTTAATATATTTACATCTACATTATGGTTTAATGACACTCAAAAGTCATTCTTACAAGATTATCTAGTTCACTCCTTTTGCTGTCTTGAGTATGTCACACCTTCAATTTCATATGTTCCAGTACGTTTTTACCGTCGAGTTTGCTGGTTACGACGTGTTTAATATACTCCTCGCTGCTTACGGTCTTGTAGTTTGCTGCATTATCCTTGACAAGATCTGGCAAGGGACCAATCGCGGTCCTCATATTCGGGCTGTGAAACGCTGCAATTGAAAGCCGTTCCCTTTCTGTGTTCACCACAGCTCTGTGCTCTATGCTCTTATACTCTCCATTACTCATTATCTGCAATAACAAAGTAATATTATATGCTAAGTGAAATCTACTCGTTAAATCAGTAGTTATATATTCAGTTACACATAACTCGTCCTCTAATGCAGTAAAGAAATGTGTTTCATGTGTCGTATAATAGTATTCCACTCAATATTCATCGTATACCTCAATGATGTCGCCGATGTTGACGATGAATGCACCGGGTACCGGTTTAACGGGTACCCATCTGCCATTTTTCTTGATTTGTAAACCTTGAACTTCGTTAACTTGAACTAATAGAGTCAAACCCACAGAATCTGAATGTGGAGTGAGACCCATAACCCTGCTAGCTTGCTGACAGGGTGGATAATAATTCATCCTTAGACCTTGCGTTCCATCCTCGAACATGCTTGCCAGCTCCTCTGAATCGAGCCCCAGATTCTTACATATCAACTTCCATAGATAGAGTGTGATCTGTTGAAGTTCCTCTGAGTATTTATGCAGTGTCTCCCTAAAGTTAGCAATGTGACCAGGAAGAGTACATTTAGTTCAATGGATAAAAAACCTGAGACCAACTCCAATAGTAGGCTAAAAGCCAAATTACCCTCCAAAATTTCCCACCAAACCCACTCTAACTCAAAAGGAAATTTTGGACTAAATGCTAAATGCTAAACCAATGCCAAATTCCCTTCAAAATTTAGCCCAGAAATCGGAGTGGACTCCACCCAATATTTATCGGAATTAAAATTTTTTTAGATTAAAATATTTATAAAATTAATTTACGATGGTCTACATATTTATTTAAAAAAAAATTAATTTAACAAAAAAAAGTAGCCTAAGTTCATTCTTTAATAATCTCGGACTAAAATTTTAGGCTAGAGCGGTTGGAGCGGAAAAGCTGTTTCTGGGCTAAAAAATTTGGCTTTTAGCCCAACTATTGGAGATGGTCTAAAGAAAAAGTAAAAGAGTTAAATGTTCTTTTGTTTCAAGTTTTGAAGTTTGATGGAGTCTTAACCAAATATAGATGCAAGAAGCTTGTAGCTTAAGTGGTTAAATAAGAGCATTTACCACTACACCAAAGGTTTCGTTATTGAATGTTTGATTAGGTCAAAATTGCTCGTAGATTTACACGATTTACCTGAAAGAAGTGGGGAGGGTAGGCCAGAATGTGAGATTTCTGATGGAGAGTGGTTGTGAGAGTAGGAAGAGCATGTCTCCCCAGTCAAGTTTTTGATCTTCAGAAACTACAAAGGCTTGGCCATAACCTTCAATATGATTTGGCAGCTGTGCATAAGTCTTCTTTACTTCTAGTGGCAGCTGGAAGAACTCCTCAGTGTCACTCTTCATTTTCTTAATCACTCCTTCAGGTACATCATGGTTGATCAACTGCATCAACGACGCAATTTTATATCAATAAACTGAATTGCGATTGTAAAACCTTACGAGTAATACAAGACAACTCAAGTTTTGGTTTTAACGGAGTAATTTTAACGGAGAATTGAACATATGATCTTAGATGCAAGAGTGAATGCTTTTCAACTACTTGCATCATGATGAATTTAAAGATGAGAATCGTAGAATATGTATACCTGAAAGAAACCCCATTCCTTACAAGCCAAATGAAGTTTAGCTAATTCATCATCATCATCATCATCATTAAGCTTGTTGATATCAACAACTGGAATTTGAAGCGAGTCCTCAACGGAAGCTGGCTCATGTTCGATTTCAGGCCGGATGTATCGGGGTGGTATTTCTTTCAAGGTGTTGGAAGCAAGAGCTTGAACATTCTCAACTGGTAGAGAACCGCCCAAGTCTTTTCTGCTGAATACTACCTCATCAGTTTCCATTCTCACACCACTAATCTGAAACTCTCAAATTCTGTTGTGTATATAAATTATGTACTTTGTGGACGGCATTTATAATTTATTTGGATCTTTTTATTTAATTTGTGAAAGCTTGTCTACATATGGCCTGCAATTCGTGGATTGCTAGTTTGTTTTCATGAAAGAAACAAAGATGCTCCAAACAAAAACAACACAGAAAAAGAATCTATATTCGGCCAAAAACGACAATTTCTCCGGCCTCAGTCTCTTACGCAAACACATACAACCCCAACATTTTCGTTAATTCGACCACGCTTACGGCAGCGTGGCAATATATTTCTTACTAGATGACCCTACAAGTCGGACCACACGATTGACATCATTATAATTCGAGTATTATTTAAATGTTGTAAGGGGCTAAGAAGTCATAAACACAGTCATAGATTAGCATGAAATAGTAGAAATACAACGTAAACTAATATTAAACACTCTTGAGCCTCTGAGCTCCCGTAACCTCCATGCATTTCTTATTAATTAGGTGTTGACGAACCTACAATTCTTTCTGATCTCTCCATGGCTTCCAGTGAGTACATTGATATTTCCCATCTTGATCATCGACTCTGCAAATGAAGCGAAGAACAATTTCTCATTGGATGCGTAAGCCCACACCTGCTTCACTATCTCCCCTTCATCATCTTGTGTGACCAACACATTATCAGACCCCAGCAAACCCTTTCCTTGGAGTAAGTTGATGTAATAATGGTTGTCAAATCTGGTTGGTGTTTGATGATCGAGCGGTGCTAGGTCGTGGTCCCTCCCCGATTCAGGGCATATGGACCTTAAGATTCTTCGAAAGGTTGTATATCGCTTGTATTTATCGTGCAATTCATATTCTCCTCTCATCTGCACATCATACACCCTCTGCCTGAAACTCAAACATTGTGCCTCTCCCATTGTGTGGCTACCTGATAAGGCAACCAAGTCTCCTATATCAAGGCCCTGTTGTTTGAAATTGGCAATGAGAGTTTCTAGAGAGGAATTCGGAGGAGGGATGAACTGGTTGGCGCCGCTGAAGCTTGCTTCCAGTGAGTCTCTCCTGCCTAGCCACACATTCCACCGTGGTCCGCCTCTCTTTTCATGAGAAGAAAAAGGAAAATGTGTAACGAAAGAAATACAGTTCGAGAAACAGTGTAATGCTACATGTACCACATTTACTGACTATATTTTTTGATCGGTCACGCTAAAATTTACTGCAAGTTGTTACGTATTACAACATTTGTTCAAGAGAGGAACGTACCAGTGCAACAGCATCACGGGCAGCCAAGGCTAGAATGTCAGCACATGAAACTGTTCCTGGACAAGCCTCTTCCAGGAGATACTTTATCTCATCAACAACCTTAAATCCTCGTAAAGACTTGTGGTTGGGGCCGGCTTGTTTCTCACTTGTTATGCCTCCATAGCTATCCAAAAGAACAGATGCATCGCACCCCTAAAGAATCGAAAACATTAACGAAAAATAGAAAGAAGGCAAAAAGTACGTAAACATTTTGTTTTTCCTTATGCATGTAATTTGCTATGTCTCTCATCACATATATTTAACTCCGCGAAAGAGATGGAAAGAGGGAGGAAGAGAGAGCGGTGTAACCATGACAAAACAATCATGAAAGTGCAGTCGAAGGAGCGAAGCAGCCATTCGAGGATCTTTAGCCACTGCAACCGCAACACTACGGCTCACAATCTCTTCCGCCAAGGGGCACCGTTCTCTATAGTAGTCAAGAACAAGAGGTCCATCTTCGTCACTCAGCGGTTCAGTGCCCTGCAAAACTACTGCTGCCAGTACTAAACTCAAGAAAATCCTCCACATCATTGAAAAACACAGGATTAATGTTCAAGTAACATCATCTATATGCATATATGTATATACTAGCTTAATCGGTAGCTAGGTCTTTCAGTGACGTTTTACTCTACTTTGTTTCAAGATGTTTCTTATCCATATTTTCAAACCAACTAAACATAAAGACATTCCCTTTTTAGGGTTTGTTAAAAGTTGATGCAACTACTCTACCTAATTGTATCCCCATAAGATTTAACAAATCTCATTAGGCAAGTTGTTTCAAGGGTATTCCAAAGGTCGCCAAGGTCTAGGTTGCACGGACACGAACAAGGATATTGTCACACGCAATACGGTGATTCGCTAAATTTTAAAAAATAAGAACACGGACACAGTTAGGACATTGTGAATAAAATATAATAAATATTACATATATTCAAAACAATATTTCGAATCATAATATAACAAAGTAAATAGAGAGAAAGAAGACTGAAGAGAGGACTAGAAAGATGACTGGACAGAGGACTGGAGTGGAGGCACCTCGAGAGAGGAAGACTAAAAGAGGATTGAAGCCTAGAGCAGAGGTTGGGGTAGTCTTTGGGTTTTAGAAGTTTTGATATTTATAAAAATGCCCCAAAATATATTGTTAATTTTACAAATATGCCCCTATTGTGTCTTGACCATGTCCAAGCCATGTTGGGGGTGTGTTCGAGGCATGTCGGGGTGTCTGACACTCCGACACTTCGGGGTTTTGGAGTGTCCGAGAAACCTAGACAAAGATTGCTTTGTATTTTAACTTTCTCACATGATATTGTGTGATTAGTTTGGAACACCGCCACCTTTACGTTTGCACTTTGGACTATGCCTAGATCCACCAATTAAGTTTAAGCCCACTAACAGCAAATAGTACGCGTGGAATACCAGCTCTAGTTCTGCCACCAGTAGCTCTTTTGTGCCTGATTGAAGAGAAGCATGATTCTTTACCGACTTGTAGCTCAAGTGGCAGCGAGCATTTACCCCCACACCCGACGGTCAGGTTCGAATTCCCAGCTTCTCAGTTGATCTCTTACATTCGGGTGATTTGAAAAGCCAAGATACACATCCAAACCGAAAAAACATAGTGCAACTTCCATGTTCTATTAATCACAACCCAAATGTTCAAACTACACATAAACGATCGAAAAAGAGAGAACAAACAAACATCCGCAGACACTCTGTAGACCAATCAATATACACAAAATCGAACAAAAAAACACCACTGTTTAAGTTCAATATCTAAGAAAGAAATACGCTTTTTTTTACGTTGATGTTTGATGTATATATCTGTAACTTGGTGTTATCCTAGCTATTGTTTTACTTTTGCACACTGGTATGACAGTAATGGTGTTTGCGAGCAGCATCTTGAATCCAGTGTGTCCAAAAAGGTGTCAACTTTTTAACCTCGTCAGCATGATCCCCAATTCCCTGCTCGAAAGATATGTCTCTGTTAAAATGGGCGTGCAACACCAATGACATTATGTTTCTAGTACCACAAAAAAGCAAGAAATGAAAGATGTTCGGTCAGCAACCATTTGGTTAAAACTTCTTTACCAGTTTACACAACAAAAGATTTTAAGTATTTCCTTGGTTCATATTGACTGAGTTAACAATACTCTTCAGAAAAGAAGAAAATAAGACATTCTCGAGCAAGTTACCTGGTCTCTTATAATTAAGATTCTAAATCCTCATATTCGTCCAGGAATATCTCAGGATGTACTGCTACGCTAGTACAATTGAGAGCTCGTTGCAGCTTCCAGTGATCTAGGACTTCAACTTCAACCATGAAGGTTGAGCTAACCGGTCGATGATCTGAAAGCTTTAGTTCTGCCCGCTTATAAGAAAGTTGTTTGATGCCTTTTCCCAGCCAAAGTACGCGATCACACCTGTCGTATTATACCAAGTACATAATAGGAAACACTCATCAAATGTTTGATTCAGATTAATAGTAGGGTCTTTACAACGCCCCCCTCCCCAACGAAAAGAAACAAGAAGGAACAATTTCGGAAGCTAAATATACGATCAGAATTACGAACTGTATGAAATATCCTAAGAACACCAGCAGCTATGTGTGCTAAAATTTTGACAGAAGTTGTACTTACCATGCTGGTGTTCTTTTCTTCTCTCCTTCTTTTGGATTCTCTCCAAAATATCTGTCAGAGTTGTTTTCATACTTGTAGGTTGGGGGAAATTGTATCAATCCCTCTTTCCATCCTTCGAATACATGCCCACTACGAAGTTCTATGATTAGCTGCACAGTTAGCGGTTGCATCAAGGGCCAGTGTATTATACAAGAAACTGGGGCTGTTTCTTGAACATTCAAAAAATAGAGAAGACAGAAGGGTGCGGAGCTTATTCATGAAAAAAACTCTTAAGCAATTTCAGAAAATACTAGAAAAGAGAATGTATAATGTTCATACGTAGTAGAGTCTTTATCAACCCTAGAAAGTTAAGTTCATATGTGGACAACTTAACTGTTAATGTCCCATGAACATCAGTTTGCAGTATGTCACAGATACGAAAGAGGAAATCCACATTTCGACTAAAATGTTGGGAAACTATCTCGTATTTGGCTCAGAAGACATCAATCCCAAACATTTACAGAAACTGTTGAGTTTTGGACACAATTCCTGTATCCTTGCCAGGGTAAAATGAATTCAGACGTTTCACATACTGGGGAAAAATGAACTATGTTGGAATACTGAACATGATAGTGTAAAGAGAATGATGAACACACCTGATCATTGTTGATAAGTTCATCCCATCGTTTGAGAGCAATGAGCCTCCTTGCCTCTGTGTCCGACATATTGAGCCGATAGTTCAAATCCCCAAACCAGAAAATCTGACTGCCAACAAAAGCACCCCGATCACATCAAATCACGGTTCAAGCACTTTGTGACAAAAGATGTGTATAAAGAGATTACACCAAATTCACTATCAAGAGATGGCATAAAAAACATGTGTGTGCTTCAATTAGATTGACAAACAGAAAATGTCATGAGATGGCATATTCAGTGGTTAATCTGTGTGCTTACTCATGAGATGGAATTGTCAGTGGTTGATCCGTATCAAAGACAGATGAGAAACAGGTACGCCGTACAATTTCATACACATCTGAGTTCCGCCTTTGCTCAGCCCCCTCCTTCTGACCAGAGGTCAGATGAGAACAAACAAAGCACATTCGCGATTGGTAAAGTGACATGCTAACAGAAACTGATCCCTGCTTCAGCAA